TTGATACATAGATAGATAGATAGATAGATAGATAGATAGATAGATAGATAAATACACATGTATACGAATTCATGTGTGTATGTGTTATATATACATGTACATGTACATAATTAATCATTAATCACATAACTGTAATAGTTGTAATAATTGTATTAAATCATGTAATTATGTGACATGGAACCTTCTTTTAATATACACATATATACACATACTTGTATAGGCTACTTGGTCTCTGTAAAGTCTTGCCAATAATTAACAGCCAACCACTTGCAAGAATATCAGCATACAAAGAATAGACAGTTGATAATAAGGACACTAATAGAGGCTTGTTTGAGAAAAGTTTGATTTGACATTATTCAAGACAAATTTCCCGAACACCATCAGTCCATTTACTCCCCCAAATCACACTTTTTCTATTTCTCTTTCTCTGCACACAAACAGACACATAAATCAACCACCCCCTTTTACTACGTCAGGATCTGTTGAGGAATGTAGGCCAGGCTTTTGATACACACAAGTTCAATTATATATATATATATAGGTCTCACTTTTATACACCCCCCAATATATATATATATATAACCAAGAGAGAGAAAAAGCCTAAACACCAATAGCCTGTTGTGTCTAGTATCGAAACAATTTATTACTATACAGCTTTCTTTTTTTTTTAAAAAAAAAAGCTTAAAGGCCTTTACATTGTATTAAACTATCAGAATGTGTATACACACATACATATATATTATGAATTTGGTTTACAAAAATATGTACTTTATCCTTTTTGTTCTAAAAGCATTTATAAGCCCTCGCTAACAAAAGAGGAGGTTATTAATACTCCACTTTTGTCCATTCATCTGTAATATTATAGATTAATGTACCATTTCGTTTGTAGAGCAAAAAAGAAAATAATAAATAAAATAAATGGTACGGATCTAAATTCCAAATATATAGCATATAACATAAAGATCGAGAAATATATATATATATTTATAAAGGGCTTTACAAATAACATAATTAAAGAAAGGAAAGCGAACAATATATATATATATATATACCGAAATATCCACTGATAAACCGCTTTTTATATATTATATTTCAAATAGATGCTTTGAAAAAGTCAATTCTATCAAGTATGTTTTAGCTAACAAAAAAAAAGGCACTTTCCTCACTCCCCCCCTTTTCTTTCTTCCTTTCTTTCTTTCGTTTTTTATATAGAAAATCCAGAGACCAATGAACCCTTTGAGGGAGCATTTCTTTGAATTTGATCTTTTTCAATCCGACCACCTGTAATTTACCACTTGGAAGATCCTTTTATTTTTATTGTCATTTACAAAAAAAAAGTCTTTTTTTTTGTTTATTGACTTTTATATATAAAAATCGAAAGAATAGCAAACAGAATATAGATTTTGTTTGTTCAATTATTTTACTCTTGTCTTTCTCTTGTTTCTCGAATTATTCACAATTAAGGTCTCTCTTTATTTCTCCACTCCAGACCATAAGAAAACAACAATAGAAACAAGAGCAATCATTACTATCAATAATAGCAGTAATTTTTGATTTTCTTCCTTTCCTTGATCTTTTAATTACCATTCTGTAACATCTTTTCAAAAACCACAAAAGCCATAAAAAGGTAAAGATACAATACATAATTCATTTCAGTTGAACTAGTGATATAGATAGATATTTATTTATCCACAAAACTTATTAACAAGAAACCCCAATAGCCATGACTGTAACTAAAATCAAGCTGATTACCCCTCCAGCTGTCGGAATCCAAACCTCTCGCTCAACTCACAAAGACACATCTATGTGTAAGTTCTCGGTCATTTATCTCTACAGGCACTTTACCGTTTTTACTAGCTCATATATTTATATCTATCTATTAGATATGGACTATGAAACCCTAAACCTGGACAAAAAGCAAACCTTTGCATTCACAAATCTGTATAGCACATCAAATATATACCAACCTCGCTGCTCAACATTCGCCGATAATCCTCGTATAATCCAATGGAGTCCTTCAAAGGGAGCCGAAGGAGAAACACTCTCGATTATTCTGGAACAGCCGCTACCTTCAATGATACACTCTACCGCAACACCAGTTGATAATCCACCCATGAAAGTGCTTTTTGGAAATATATTTCTTGACACTATACAGCAACAACACATCATTCCACCTGCTGATCCAAGACAAGACTCTACACAAATGCTGTGGACAACCTTGATTGCACGCATCCCATATATTCCAGAATCTCAAAATTTCGAGCAGAATAAAGTACCCATCATAATATGCACCTTTGCAGACGAAATGATGACACTAGAAACAAACCATTGGCCGGTAGGAGACTTTGTACTCTTGAGAAAAACAAAAGGTATTTGGGACTTGCTTTTTGTTTAATACAACAAACGTTTGAAAGTAAAATAAATTTCCGTATTACCAAACTCAAGACCACAAAGATACAAAGATATACATAGAGAGCAAAATATGGTTTATTAAAGTAGTACAATAAAGAGATATACGACAAACCACCCCCCAAAAAAAAGACATACACATACAAATCCAATAAAACCTGAACAATTCTTGTGATCACACTAGAATTCATTCGCAAACGATCATTTGAAACCACTGATGAGCCAAAAAGCCCTTGCCATAAACGTTATGATTCGTCTACTCAAGATGGTAATGCACAAAAGATATATATGAAAGAACAGAAATTAGAATTATTAGGGGTATTCCCTAAAAACAAAAACAAAAAAAAAAGGTATTCGAAAAGAGGTATTAACCAAAAACGATAAAATGCATATTTTTTCCCCCGTTAGCAATGATTCGTGCATTCGATTTGAATGATCTGGAAATTATCTTGCTTCTTGCTCCTGCTATTGTAGCCAACGAAAAGCCTGCAGAACTACACTCGACCCAAATAGCATCTCAGCACAACTTACTAACATCATCTTTGACTGATACCCCATATTCTCAGATAGCCTTTAAAGAAAGTGATCTTACACTGTATTCTCAGCCGTCGTCAACATTCTCTTACTCTTCGTCTTCTTCATCTACTCCTAATGATCCCGGCACATTCCTAGACCAGAGTCCTAAAAACCCGTCAATATCCTCAGAATATAATATTTCGACAGCTATATCTAACTCGTTCTCAACTCCACAACCAAAAGACACTTGCCATTCTCCCTTCTCGGAAACTAACTACAGCTACAGCAATGTTTTTAATTTGCTGAAGTCGGCTGATGTGGACAGCAACAGTCCCAAGAATATATACAGTTTGACCTCAAATATTCATCTCAATACCTACACCTCTACCTACACCGATACTGATACTCACACCAACACTGATACCAATACTAATACTAATACTAATACATACAATGACCACGAGAATACACACTCACAGAAAACGTCTGCTGATAGACTCAAACAATTCAGGCAGCTGCAGTCCACTCAAACATCAGATTCATTTTCCTCATCGACGTGTGCTCAAACAAGAATCGATCAGATCTCAAACAGCTCAAACGACGAAACAAACATGAATCGGATGTCACATTGCTCATACCCATCTCTGGAGCGAATAGCTTCTTCCGTAGATGCACACAAGCTCTGCGCCATGTTGACCAAACCCTTTGTTAACAAATCCATCAATAATGATACTGATAACGCAAATAACAATAGTAGTCTGGTAAATTCAGATAGTCGAGTAATAAAGAAAGAGTTGAGTATGGTAACATTACCGACAAATCAAGATTTCGATGCGCAGCAAAAGAACCAAACACAAATGCACCACCACCACCACCAGCATCAACAAAATCAACAGCATAAAACGCATGATGTGCACCATTCATTACTACACCAACAACCAGCTGTAACGCACAAAGGTCGTTCTACTCATATCCTTGCTACTCAGCAAACCCAAATGAGTAAACAGCAAAATCGGCCACAACCCAAACCAAAGATATCTCGTAACAGCCAAATTTGCCAATATCTGAAGCGCCCTATGCTACAAACAATGCATCAACAGCCTCTTCCACACAATAATGCAAGCCAGCAGGACCTTGATTTTCAATCTCAGCAAACTGGGAGCAATTATGTTGCGCATAGTGCTCGAAATCCTTATTTCTCTTGTACCCAATCACCAGATCTCTCGTTCTCTAACAGTCTGTTTCCTCGAAGCTATTTTCAAAGCTGTTCCAATGAAAGTATCCACACCAATCTTCTTTTCGAAGATCAAAGTATAAAAAAGCTGATGGAAATACCGGAATATCCGACCCACCAACACAACAGTTTGTGCACTTCTGGGATATATGCTCTGCAAAACCCCTTTGCGCAGAATCCGCGTTTAATTCAATACCCGAGAGCTTCTATGAATTCATCAATAGCCCCCACAGCATTTGACAGCCAGACATCATCACAACGCGTCTCTAGTCAATGCAGTCAAACAGAGCTCCCTCAAGGTGAATCTTTATCCTTTGTGCGTGAGCCTCATCACCGCCGCCTCCATGATTCCCACCAAGTCCAGTCTCTTCAGCAAAACCAGCGCCAATTCAAAAACAGTCCAACCATAGCTACCAATGACCGAGTGAATAGACAACAGCAAGACAAGATATCGATGTACTATCCGTTCATAAACGTATTATGTAAGGCCGACCTAGACTTTACACCGGACTTTATGGACATGACTCGAGATTGGACTGTCGAGGAGATACAGAATTCGCGCCGGATTGTGAGGTTCTGGAGAGCTCTGAATATTGAGACCAATCCAGATGGAACTGTTGGCCATGCCCAGTGTTTCTTTGAACCTGTGTCTGTACAAGATTATAAGGATATTCAAGCTAGCAATGCTTCTGCTGCCGCTGTGGCTACTGCTATGGGTAATAACACACTACCTAAAGCCAGTACATCTACTACTACTACTACTACAACAACAACAACAAGAATAAAAGCTATGACTACTGATATTACCAACAATCTTCTTGCAGGTCAACTGGATATCTCACCTTCAAGACTAACTGATGTTAGACTACGTAACTTGGTTGTTTCTTGTATATATTCTGCAGAAATCAATGACTTTATCATCACATCTGTGGACTGTATCCATCTGATGGAAGGTCTGGTGGGCGTCGAGTTTACTGTAGAAGAAAAGAATCGGATCCGACGCAACCTCGAAGGACTGCGGCCAATCACGGTAGGAAAAGGCCGTCCTGAATATGCTGCCTTTTTCCGCTTGATAATGAATTTCCCCGAACCACGGCCTCGTAATATCGAAAAGGATCTAAAGGTGTTTTTGTGGTCTGATCTAGAAGAAGCCTTGCGAAAAATCATCAAAAAGTACACACCAAGTTACAGCAGTGCGGCAATTATCTACTCGGACTCAATTTAATACCTTTACCTACGTACCTACGTACCTATATATTTATGTATCTATGTATCTATGTATTTGTCTAATTATCTAACTATTTAACTATTTATCTCTTTAACAAAACAAAACAAAAAACCAAAAACAGGCCGAGATTTGGTAAATTTCTCTGGCCTAGAGGCCCTAATCTGTTCTTGTGAATTTTATGTATTTTCTTACATTCTTGTCTATATTTTTCCTTTATTTTTTTCACACTATTGCATTGCTATTTTTTACTTTCTTTCTTTTAATTAAAATTATTTCTAATATATTTTCTGTTCAAAGTGTTTAATAAAGCCTTATTTACTCATGACCACACAAAATCATATCATTCACAATTAATTGCACGCCATAAAATAAATATAACCAATAAAAGTAAAATACTTCTTTTGATAACTCGATCAAGCTGATAACACACAAGATTTTTATTATTATTCTTTTAAATAAAAATATAAGTAATATGTTCTGCTTTATATATACGTGTATATATCGAAGTTAAAAGAAAGCAATGGTGTTATTTAGTTTCTAGGTCAATAGTTTTACTGGTCTGACAAGTAAAAGCCGTATACTTTATAATTATAGATACTAATGGTTAACTAAGATTTATAGTATTGTAAATCGATTCATCTCATAAAAATGTTCTTATAGCCGAGAACCCCGGGCACATACAGAAAAAAAATCAATACTACAGCTAATTATTACAAAATAGATACCATGTCAAGGTATCTATTCACATTGTCTGCAATTAGAAATGAAATAATACACCATCAGACTTCTTTATTTTTTCTCTGCTATTAAATTGAAACAGTCCGGAAGGGGTCTTTTACTTATTTATTTATTTAAAATATAAGAATAAATAAATAGTTGTCAAAGATGGCAAGACTAAATACCTGATTGTTGAATTTACTAAATACCATTTTCTCTACATATTTAAAGAAGCCATTCTAGGATTTTACTTTATTTCTTTTCCAAAAAACCTTAATAACCTTTGAAATGAAGGAAGAAAAATAGCTGGAGTAAAACTGTCTTTTGATGTCTATAAAAGAAAATATACGATATAATATTCTAGAAATGTAATATGACATAATATTGATAAAAACTATCTGCAATAGCCTGTTCAAATATTTATATTTATATATAGCGGTTGTAGGTATAGTAAACATCAAATTAAAGCTTTAGCGATAGATCTAAACAAAATAATTACAATATAATTAAAAAAAGTTATTGCCATGATGATTATAGACAGCGTCAAATGAAGCCTTTCGTTAAGAGTTTCTTCGGAAACAGGTATATATCTTGTTATATTGTCTTTAGTTATAGGCATTAGTCGAGGAGATGTTATCGAAATAGTAAACCGAAGGCTTGTCAATGGAATTTTCCAGCTAATATGGTTGGCTCTATTTGCAAGGTCGGCTGGGTAGATGAACTTTTCGTCGTCGTCGTCATCTTCGCTTTCATATATGTGATCTGCATAGTTGAAAATGTATTCTTTATATGAATCTTTTGTACTTTCGTAAAAATACTCTTTATCTTCTATAAAAGTTCTGATGGAACTGGACCAGGGTTCAGATGTGGCAACTGGTAAGGATACACGATCTATGTTGTCAGCCAAATATTCGCCTTTGTGTTTCGGCATACTGTTTCCAAAGCTGTCCGGGTTAGATATGGCTGGTTTCTGTGTATCGATGAGCATCGTGGGGTATTCTTGTGAACGGGTAAAGTAGATGGCGGCATTTGTTCCAGTAGAAGTACCCAGCTCTAGCCGATCTTTTGTAATGGTAAAGTGTCTGTATGAGATAGGTCGGCTACCGTGGGTTCCCTTGAAAAATATTGAGCGAAACGAGGAGAATCTGTAATCTGAGGATACTGCATCACCAGGACACAGCACGTAGGAGGTGTAAATAAATGCAAGTAGTGAAATGAAAGGTAGTAGGATACCAGAGTGATACATTTTGCGTCTATAATAGAATATAAGAATAAAAGATAATAAAGGTCCAACAAAAGCACAACCAGTATTTCTTAAAAACAAACAAGCAAACAAGCAACAACTGAATTGAGATTTATATATACATTCAGCATTATTACTTTGCTTCTTTGTTAAAAAGTTACTCTTAGGAGGACTGTTTGTAGGGACTGTCGTATTTAATACTATGAAAGGATAGTTTGAATGATCTCAATATCTTGTAGTTGGTTACGGCTTGTACATTTGCCTAGAAGATTAAATTATGTCTACCACATATTTCTTCAGTGTTGGTGGTTAAATATGCTTCACTATTTAACGATTTTTTTTTTCTTTTTTTTCTTTTTTTTCTTTTTTTTTTTTTGATGTTTAAACTTACAAGTATTTTGGATTTTGCAAATACCTAGTTTATTAAAGTCAAACATCAAGTACTTTGTTGGTGTTGGGAAAGGGTTATAATAGTAAGATTATAGCCATCTATATTCCATTGCATACCAAAAGGTTTAAATACATATTACGATATCATGAATACTGTATCTACTCGTGGTCAAGTACCAAGATATTGAAATCAATCTGCTGCATTCTTATATATTTCAATTAAAGAGCCTGTAGTTAGAATAAAGCAAGGTCTGCTAACCTTCATGTGTCTACATTATCTATTAATTTACTAAAAAAACATACATTTATGACAGAAGTATTGCCAGAAAGAAAGGATATCATTCATGCCAATTAACTATTGATCCATTTTTTGACACCTCCGTTTCAAAGTAACCATACTGATACGGTATTAAAGAAAAATGAAGAAAAGAAGAAGAAAACAAGGGAAAGAAAGTGCGTTATTAAATTTTTTATTTTTATTTCTTCACTTCTTCTTCTTGGGGCTAGGGACAGAAATGGCGTAAATATCCTTTCCCTGTCTGTATTGCTCCAACCATCCCAAAATGTACCTATGAAAGAAATATGTTAAATAAAATATGTATATAGATTTATTTCCTCATTCTTATACAAATATCTAACTTACTTTCTCTGCTTGACACTGATACCATCGTTCTTCATGGTACGGCTATCGGCAGTGAAGAGCTTTTCCCAGGACTATACGTTCACAAACACACACAGACAATCATATGAAATTAAACACAAATAGCCACACAATATACCCTCATTTTTTTTTAAATATTATACCTCAAATTTTCCAGCATTTTCTTCACAACCGCGACCAATGGCCTTTAGGAACCCCTCGACATCAGAGACATTGCCTAAATTTTCAAGAAAATATTTTAATTTTTTTTAAATTTTTAATAAACGGCTCTAATTTTTAAGAAAATAATATGTTGCTACCTCTGGGTTGGGGGACAGTAGCAGCACGACCAGTAGCAGTGTGCAATGAGCGTACGTTTCTAATGAAGGGGGTTCTGACAATGGAAAACATGGTGCCTTAACCTTGACTATCCCTGCATTTGCGTCGAGGTCTTCTAAATGATAGTCGCCAAGCCACTCTTGTGACCGTCACACAAAGAAGAGTGAATGAAAAGGAGATTGCATAACGTTTATTCCTTCAATCCTTCATTCATTAATTTATTCGTTTTATAATTCCTTCAAAATAAATACCCGTATTTTGGCTGTCAAAAATACGAGCAAGTCGAAAGACTATATAAACTGGAAAAATAAGCGTTTTAATACGTACAAAGTTTACATTTATTCTACTCAATTTTACCGCACAAAAATAAACTTGCAATATTAGAGATAATCCAAGACGTGTCTTTTAATCAAAGCATAATAAGGTTCTCCGAATTTCACCTTATTTCGTTTTTGGGGGAGCCACATAAATTGTTCAAATACTAAATATGCTATATTTACAATCTACTATGAAGAGTTAATGGAAAAATTAATAAATGTATATACAAAAAAAGAGCTATTTTCCCATTAAGAGTATATATATATATATACTTGTATATGTAAAGTTAATTCATCAGTCTAAAAAAATACATTGCAAGCTGGGATTTCTCCTTCATAGATGACTATTGAATAATTGGTATCCGAAAGTTGAAATAGGGTTCATTGCGTGTGAATACTGAATTACGTGCATACTCTGAGCGACAGATGACAAAATGTGTATTCTTTTTTTCAACCTTTGTGTTTATTTATCGTTGTCACTGTCACTCTCGCTACCACTGCTTCTGCTTCTGATTTTTTCTCTATTACTTCTTCTTTTATCGCCTCTGTCTCTGCTGTCTCTTCTTCTGCTGTCTCTTTCTCTGCTGCCTCTTTCTCTGCCGCTTCTTTCTCTGCCGCCTCTTTCTCTGCTGCCTCTTTCTCTGCCGCCTCTTTCTCTGCCGCCTCTTTCTCTGTCGCCTCTTTCTCTGTCGCCTCTTTCTCTGTCGCCTCTTTCTCTGCTGTCTCTGCGTGCAGGTCTTCTGCTTCTGCTTCTGCTTCTGCTTCTGCTTCTGCTTCGACTGCTGCTACTGCTGTCGCTGCCGCTGTCACTGTCGCTTCCACTGTCACTGTCGCTGCTGCTTCCGCTGCTGCTTCCGCTGCTGCTTCCACTACTGCTTCCACTGCTGCTATCACTATCAGTATCACTACCGCTGCTTTCTTCTGGGCGACTTCTCTTCATGATTGTTTGAGGAGCGGTGCGCAACCATTCACGCAATTCCTGGGTAAGGGCACCAAGACCAATACTGGTCCAGTAATTGATAGCAAAACGGGTGTTCTTTGGATTGTCTTTGGGGAACATTCCTTGGAAGTAATCGGCCATGTAGGGGTCGTCGATACGCTCTTTCAGCTTCTTAAGACCAAGGAACTCGCTGATTTCCTGAAAAAGGATCTTTGTGAAAATACGCGATGCAGATGTCGTTTCATCCTCTGTAAGGCGAATAATAGAGAAACATGTCCAAGCAAGAGAATCAGTGTAGAACAAATGGGCAAAAAGCTTAGCAATATTTCGAAGTCTGTTGGTTTCATAACGATGGACGGTCTCATAAACTTCTGTGAAAGCTGAGGTAAAGTTCTCACACCATACTCGGTTCATTTTACAGAATCTTTCGGCAATAAGACCATAAAACTTGAGGAAAGTACGTTCTTGGGAGCAACACTCAATAATCATATTACACAATTCGATCTAAAAGACATTGGGTATACATGTAAGAAATTCTGTTTACAAATATTACAATACCGTTTTCGAATACCATACCTCTTGTCCTTCACGAATATCAAGCTTCATAAGTTTGTGACAGCACTCCTCAAAGTCAACACTGGACATGACAGTCAAGTAAATTCTTCTTCGTAGTGCGATAATCTCGGCATTTGTCTCGTCCTGTATCTCCATTTTCTTTTGTTCTGCCTCTTCGTCACTCTCATCGTCCTCTTCTTCTTCTCCACTCTCGTCATCGCTATCAGATTCATCATCCGAACCTTCTCCTAAAATTTCGGCTTTGATTTCGCTATATTTCTTTTCATTTTCTTCATAATTTGGGTCGAACTTGAAAACGTTTAAGTCATCCTCAACCTCGAGATCTTCGTCGTCAAGTCCAATATAATGTGTAATTTGATCTTCTTCTTCTACCAAATCCAATTCCTGGAGTATCGGCTGGTTATCTTTGTATTTGTCTTTGCGAACTTGGAAAAGAACTTCAATCATATATTGGATACGCTTATCAATCTGACCCTCGTGCAGAATTGCTCTAAAGCGTTCATAGATAGCATTGTTGGGTTTTGGAGACACATTGGCAAGATGTGCGCCTACTTCGCGCATAAATCCAACTGCAATCTCAACTGAATCGTCTGTAGGTCGTTCTAGTAAAAGAGCTAGGATTTGGAGAGCAAGAATCTCGTGGGCAATCAGCTGATTTGTAAGGTGTGCAATAAATGTCGAAACTGCCAAGCACACAGTCTATATATATACAAAAAATAAAGTAAAATAAAGATAAAAAAATAAGTATATTAGTGAGTTTATCCAAAAAGAAACGCATGTTGTAAGGGCTACCTTGTCATTACGACGAAATGCACGTCTGAACTGTACAACCAATCGTGTCAGTAAAAGTGCACCAACAGCAGGAAGTTTTGTGTTGATCACCGAGGCTACGGCCGCGTAAACAGGTGTAAAAGGTAAACTTGCACTTTGGGCTTTCATCATACTACGGCAAAACAAACCACGGCCACGAACCAAGTTTTCACCAAACAGTTCGGGTATAAGCATCTTAACATTGGACTTGTTGACTTTGTTGATAAGACCATTAATTGATTTCTTTAATGCCTCCCAGGTAATGCGTTGGTATTGTTCACTAGATCGGTCGGTAACGTTCTGTTGCATCTGTCGCAGACGATGGGGTGGGATATACGCACCACCAGCACGCGTCGTCAGCTTCATCGTCTCCATTTCCTGAACAGGATCGAGTCTTGGTTTCTTTGCCACTTGTTCTTCATGTCTTGCCATGTCGGGGTTCGTTACGTATGCGTCGATGAGATGTGTGTGATTGTAAGAGGAGATCTTTTTTTTTTTAGGATTTTTAGGATTTTTTTTTTAATTGGATGGGAGCGCCTGGGCCAGTCGTATTCCCTCAAAACGGAGCGCAGTTGGTCAAACAAAAAATTAGTGCTGACATCATCGATAGAAACTGCCATTTTTGGAGGGTTTGAATACTAAATTATATATTATGTGTATATATAAAAAGTAAAGGAAAAGAAATATCGGATAAAAATTACCTATATCTTTAAGAAAACCAACTTAACATGTCTAATTCATCAGACAGTGAGAATTCCAAAAAAAAGGAAAAAAATATATACCAAGAAAACAACAAGCAATTTGATGATTTTCGTCAATCGTCTGATGAAGATAGTCGAGAGATCTTCGATGATTCATTGAATAGTCCTGTAGAGCGTGGATCTTTATTGATTAAAACTGGAGTAAAGAGACAAAGAGATCCTAAGGATGTCTCGGGAAATCATAAATCTCGTCATACAATGGAGACAGATCATGCCCATGTGGAAGAAGATAGTCCGCATTCATTTACTTTGGCGCATAACATTGCTGAAGATAATCCAAGCAATCCTGGATCGCCCATTAGATCAAATTCAACAAATGAACTACGCTACCGGGAAGAGGATCTTAACTCTCCATTTGAGCTATTACGTGCATTTAGTAGATGTAGGTAGAAGTTTCTTTTTCTCGTCTTCTTCTTTCTCTTCTTCTTTTAGTCTCAAAGAGCAATTATGTTGGATGTAGTGCGTGAATAATAATGTGGCTTTATTCATACGCAAATAAAAACATATGATATAGTGTATCAATTAAGAAGAACCGAAGAACGTTTCTCGGATGAAAGTGAACAATTACCAACTACCATAAATACTATATCAAAAAGCTCGGAAAAAGGAAAAGAGAAAGCTACCGATATTGTAGACAAATCACACATTAAGCAAACACACCCAAGACAAGAATCAGTTCCATCCAGTCAAGCTAAAGGTCTTGAACAACCACATTCTAGACAGGATTTTGTACAATCCAGTCTAGATAAATCCTTTTATAAGCCAGCATCACGGAGTAGAATTTCGGGTAGACCAAAGAAGCAAGAGCCTATTGATAAAAGTCTTCCTCGTCCTCTCTTTCTTTTACGCAGAAAAAATCGTCATCTTGCTCCGGATGAGCCAGAAGAAACTTTATCATCAATAAGCTACCATTCTGACACAGACTTCAGCCGACTAGACCACAGATTTTACAGCTATGGTTCTTCAGAGTCTGATCGACCACCTGATGCTTCTCTTGATGGTCAAAGTATACTTGGGGAGCTTGGAGATCTTCCTCATGGTTGGCAGTCGCCATTTCAAGAAGACCAGGAGAGGTCAGAAACCTCTCAACTTCCACCACAGCCTTCATTGGTTGACATCTCTTTAGATGCCGAGAGTCAGGATATAATTGAGCCACGATCACAAGAAGATTATGGATACGATGGTAAGAGATCTAAAAATGTAGCGTGCTTGTATAAATTTATCTAAATATTTTATAAGAAATGCAAGATCCAAACATTCATGAAGAGATCGATTTCCCTGGATTCGATGATGTGATAACAGGCCGAGAAGAATCTCATGAGTATGCGTTTTCTACTACAGTGTTTATTTTAATTAACGAGCATTTATTTTAGGCAAATTCATGATAAATTATCACCAGAAGATTTGGATATTTTTCAGAATTACGAACAGTAAAGCATTTATCTTGAATCACACACATTTACTAGCATATCTAATTGGTATCTCTGGTAGACCACGCCATTACGATCGAGTTCTTCCTAGCCAACGCTTTACTGAACGCAAGATAGAAGAACGTGTGCAAGCAAATCTTGACGGAGTAAAGTACGGAGCTACATGTGAAATAATCCACAATACTTATCCATGCTTTACTGAATTTTGATAGAATACCCCCTGTGATGGCAATTGGGAATTTAATGCAAAGGCGAATCTTCTCTAGGTTTACTGACAAAAAGATTGAACCGGGTGCTGTTCAAAAGATCATTGAGGCGTAATTATAAAAGTCTGGATACCAAAAAGATCCTGCTTCTAATGTACCCTTTTTATTGTGTAGGAGTGAGCTATTTTTTGAGCAAATGGCAGACGATCTAAAAGCTTATACAAAGCATGCCTCACGTAAAAAATTGACATGCGAAGATATGAAACTATTGATGAAAAGGTAACAAATTATACGAAAGCATTTATAAAAGTAGTATCCTAAAAAAAAATCCGTAAATAATTTTGTAGGCAACGACTACTAACAGGAAAACGAACCTTAGAAGTTGTAGCTCACGAGTATCTCCCAAGGGAACTATATGATTTAGTGTGTATATCTGCTACAGCAGATAATGAGCTCTACCCTGAAAGTGTAGAGTAATGTAAAGCCACATACATTCATACACATACACACACACATGTATATATACTAGCAAAAAAATGTTTTTGAATACCAAACATTAATTTTAGATATATTTCATCGCTCATACACAATAGCATCTTGCTTTTGGATGAAACGCATAAAACCATTATTATTGCAAACTGTTAAAAAAACTGTGTAAGGTACGGTGATGACAACTACGAATTTACATAGAAGTAGACATTTTTCTACTTTAATACCCCGGAACTCCAGCCGGCGCACCCAAGCTTAATACCCACTCAGTACGCATATGAAGACGCTCTTCTTTCTTCTTTGTCAAGACAAGTATCTTATTATAAACTGTCTCGGTATTTTCATTTCAAAGAAAAACTATAATTACTTATACATAATACAATATTTTTTAAAGCTAGACTAGATGGTACAAATCCATTTCAATAATTACGTACGTGCATATATCGTGATTAAATCCTTAAGGCTATGTTATTGTTCTTTTTGAATAGTTCTGTTTATTTGATTTTTTTTTTGAATTTTGCTATCACTGAGATGTTCGTTTTTCTATTTAGAAACTCTCTACAGTGAAACTTTTTCTACTTTTCTGCAAACAAAAATGAGACAAAATATATACTGTACCTTATCTGAACGTGATATTCTAGACCTTTACGGTGAACAGTTCAAGAGATATTCATTAAAAGATATGGCGCGTATAATATAAGCTTACTAGCTGGTGTGAAAGTAACTAATTTCATTATTCATGTGCTATCTAGTTAAAGAATTATTTTAGTTTTTGAAATTTACTTTCGAACTTTTTAGAAATACCTGAATAGAAGGATCCTTTGGAATAGTAATGTTGATGCATAGCAGACAAGCCAAATCTCCTGAGCACTGATTAACAAAGTTAAAGGGTAATTGTCAGCCCTGGGAAGGGATCAAGTCGTAGGAGAATTGTCAGACCAGAGACGTTATCTTTATAATTCCCTCAATAACGTAGTCCTATTGTCGAGTAAGCAAGATGCTTACGCCAAGTCTGTTCGTTAAAGTATATCAACTTGAGTCCACTGATTTATTTGCTATACAATCGAGTGACAAAAGTTCCTGCCATTTAAAATCCCGATTTTATAGAAAACACTTCTATCTATAAGCACATAATCAGACTTATATAAGACTTATAGAGCTCTAATTCTTACAGATTCTCTATTAAGATAGAGCGTTATTGCTTTGAAGTGTAGATATAATGGTGAAAATCGTTATTGAATTTGAGAGAAAGAGAAAAGAAAAAAAGGTATTCATACTTATAGCAATATACAGGCTGGAATTTAAATAGCAGGAACTTTTGTCACTCGATTGTATAACGCCAAAAAGGTGTACCCTAGATGTGTTGGCTACAAATATCATCTGTTTTCCTTGGAATTAAATACTTGAAACACTTCTGCCGTTTGACAGTTTCTCACGGGGATTAAATATCTAGCTAAATTGGAGAAGCCTAGAGGAAAAAGAGGGGTTTTCTTCTTCTTTTGGACAGTTGCATTTGTGCCCTATTGTGACAGCGACATACTCGCAAATAACAAAGATTAACGTCTGCAACCTTCAAAAGCTTTGTTCTTCTTTGTCACGTATCAATCTCAAATGGGGAATTTTGAATTAATTTGCGAGGTTCCTACAGATTTTGGAGCTACTTACACAAAGTACAAAAGTACCAAGTCTGGTCTCACTGTCGTTCTCTCTGACATTGAAGGTCTGTTGGTGTAGAATAACGCGCCTGATTGCACTGGTGACGCACCTTATTTCTCGTCCCTTTAAGCATGCAATGTCTCATCTCTTGTATGCCCACATTTAGCCCCTCTTGTAAACGGTTACTTTGTCTTGGCCACCGAGAGTATGTTTTGAGAGGGTTTACCCTTTGTATTCATATAAAGTTTTTTTTTCTTTTAAGAAAAACTTTTTATATCATAATTATATTTATTTTGCTTGTGTATAGGTTTTGATGATTTTGGTTGCCCTCACACTTTGGAGCAGTATGTGGCATTATATATAGGCTTAATATTATCGTAAAATTAAGCTAATTATTTTCGGTTATTTCTCTTCTTTATTTATTTCTAAGTCTGGTATTCCTTGGAAGTGAACAATTCCCTTACAAGGTACACATTTTAGAATATATTCTGCTGAGTTTTTTTTATTCTTCTCTTTGCAAGAAAAAATGATGTTAACAAAATCATAAAGGGTGTGCTGGATTCACTAGCAAACCGTGCAATTGCCCAAGGAACCAATGCATGGACAGATGTAGACCACACTTGCTACAGTAAGCTAATATAATAAGCTTTGATCTAATGAATCATTTAAAAAATATATTTACGTATAAGTGTATTAATTTGGATATAATTCCCTTTATAGCTATTACAACTGCCGGTAGCCAGGGTTTCCTCAAGTTACTTCCTATTTATGTAGATCATGTTTTGTATCCTACTCTCACAGAGAGTGGTTATTATACCGAAGTTCATCATATTAACGGGGAAGGCGAAGATGCAGGTAAATTTGTGTATATGTGGGATTAAAAAAATTAATTCATAATTCATGCAATATGTGTGTATTAATCAAACTTGAAACCTAATATTAGGAGTAAGAATCTAGAGCTATCATAAAAAACGAGTATACACTCTAAACGAACAGTATCATAAAGAATAATATTAGAAACTTGTGTAATTAAATATTATTGTATATATTTTATAGGTTGTATACAGTGAAATGCAGGTAAATTATTGTAGGCCATTTAAAAATTACAAGAATAAATCCCACTAAATCAATATGCAAAATTAGGGTTGCCAAAACTCAAGCAGTGATAGACTTCATCTTCGTATGAAAAGAATTCTCTACCCTGAAACATGTGGCTATCGCTCAGAGACTGGTGGATTAATGGAGCGCCTTAGAGAGCTATCTGTAGAAAAAAGTGAGTGATTTATATTCCTAATATTTTTTATAACATATGATTGTATGTTATTTTTTAATGATAATACTAATATTATTAACCATATGAATCAAGTTCGCGATTACCATAAGGCTTATTACCGCCCTGATAACCTGTGCTTGATTATTACCGGAAAGGTTGATCCTGCAGACCTTATGAAGGCTCTTGAGCCTGTCGAAGAAAATATTCTTTCTAAAGGTCCTCTTCCACCTATGCAAAGACCTTGGGTGAGCACAGGCGACTTTCCCAATCTGACGAAGAATATCGAGGAAACCGTATTGTTTGCCGATGAAGATGAATCCATGGGAACAGTTCTTATTGCATGGAACGGACCAAAATGCCATGTATGTATCACCAAAAAAATAGACTACCTTCAATGCTAAATGTTCATATGTACATATACATATAATATGAGTAGGAATACTTCACTATGAAAGCTTTAGAAGTCTTGAATCTTTACCTTACAGACTCACCTGTGTCCGTTTTGCAAAAAGAATTTGTTGAAATCGAAGACCCCCTTTGCACAGGTATTTCTGTTTTCTTTCATTAAATAGTAACAACGATAAGAATATTCTGTGTGGAGCTAACATGAAAACAGAAATTGAGTTTGATAGCACTGATCATCTCAAGACAACATTGATGTTGACTGCTTCCAATGTACCCATTGAAGAGATTGATGAATTTCCTGCTCAACTCTTCGAGACACTCCAACGATTGGTCGAAGCCAATGATATTGATATGGAGCGTATGAAGATGGTTATAGAGAAAGAAATTCTCAAGGTATGTCGTACTGTTGTAGTATATATTTAGATTGAAATGTTGTATCTTGGTTAAATTGACTTTATATACACTGTATTAGGTCAATGACAGTGCAGAGACAGATGCTCATGAGACTGCTGCTGCTATTTGCATTTCAGGTATGTATGTTTGTAAAGTATATTTGCAGAGCCATCTAACTCAGGTATATGTATAGACTTCTTATACGGATCTGAAGATGGAGAGGACCTTAAGAAGGCTGTTAAGGATAAAGAATACCTTGCACAGCTTATTGATCTTACTGTGTCTGATTGGATTAACCTTTTAAAAACGTAAAATACTTAGTATAATTTCCTTGTAAGATATGAAGATACTTATTTTAGAATTGACGTAGATGGTACCTTGACCAGTTTCACGTTGTTCTTCTCGGAAAACCTTCCGCAGAGTTTGCAGAGCAGATGACGGAGGAAGAAAACCAGCGTATCGAGAAGCAGCGCGAGGATCTTGGAGAAAAGAAGCTCGAGGAGTTACATGATGCTTTAGAAAAGGCTATGGCTGCTAATGATGTCCCTGTACCTAATGAAATCTTGGATAATTTTGTTATTCCTTCTGTTTCGACTATCAAGTTTATTGATGTTCAATCGGCTCAAAATAACTCAAAGAGTATAAAGTGAGTCTTATCTTTGTAAAACATGTATACTTTACTAAACATTTGTGATCAATGATAGAAATGCCGTCCAAGAACATATCAACCGCGATAATTCAGCCGATATTCCATTTTTCATTCAATTTGATCGTAAGCTAAGCCTTTTGCATTATCAAGAAAGAAAGCATATATTTATGTGTTTTATTTTAGATATCAAGTCGGCCTTTATTAAGCTGACTGCTCATATCAGTGCATCGTCTATTCCATCGCACCTGTTGCCATACACCCGTATTTTCTTAAAGTCGATATTTTCACTACCAGTAGAGAGAGATGGTATGACACTCACATATGAAGAAGTTGTGAAAGGGTTGAGTGAGGATACACTTGAGTATGACTCTGGCCTTGGAACAAGCAGTGGATTTAGAGAACTTGCCGTATTCTCTATTAAAGTTGAGGTAAATGAAAATACGCCTAAAAATCACGAGTTAAATGTATAATTACTTTATATCCAATAGGCATCGAAATATAAAAAAGCTATCAAGTGGCTCCAGGATATCCTCTGGCACACCCAATTTACTGCAGAACGGTAATATATAAAGCTGACAGTGGTTAAAGTAGCGAATATTAATTTATTTTATTTAAAAAACAAAACTAGTCTCAAGATCGTAGCCAACCAGATTCTAAATGATATTCCTCAGTCCAAGAGAGATGGTCACAGTGTAAGAGTTATGGCTTTTCTATGACGATCAAGTTTGACTCAGTAATTTGATATACACTATTTAGATGACAATTGCTTGTATGCGAATTATTCAATACGATGCAACCAAATCTGTCAGTGCTTCTCGCAATGTTCTTTTCCAGACCGCTTTCCTTACAAATCTACTCCAAACTCTTGAAAATGACCCTAACTCTGTCGTCAAGGAATTAAACATTTACCGCGATGCATGTAAGTATATACATAATATAAAAAAAACAACAAGAGCCTAAATTTGATGGTGTTATTTTTTCTCTCTCTTTTAGTATGCAACCCTGCAAACATCCGCCTTCACGTTGCAGGCGATATTTTGAAATTAGAAGAGCCTCGTACATCCTTTAAAGACTTCTCTGTGTACAAGGTTAAAAAAAACATCGGCTATTAACATTTAATTCAAAATGTATTAACATTTATTAACATTTTCTATGAATTTGTTTAGAATAACGGACCTTTGGCCCCAATCACACTGGCTCAGGATGTTCTTAGTGCTGCTGGTATCTCTCCCGGAGAAACGGTAAGTTGTAAATTGGAGTATATCTGTACTTTTTGTGATGCCTTACGTGTTTTTTAGGGTGTTATTATCAACCTGCCTTCAATTGAAAACTCATTCTCAATGCACTCAACCAAAGGTAATTATTTTCATGGCTTCTTTCTTCTTTTTCTAATTTTTCTTTTTCGTAGGCCCTAGCAAGTTTGATGATCCAGACATTGCCCCTCTATTGATTATGATTGAGCTCTTGGATACCATGGAAGGAATTTTCTGGAAACTTATCCGTGGTCAAGGTCTTGCCTACTCTTGCTTCTTGGATTCTGATGTGGAAGCAGGTGAAATTAGTTTTAGTATATACAAGTCCCCTGATGCTTCCAAGGCATTCGAACAGGCAAAGTTTGTGATTGATCAATTGACAACCAAAAAGGTAAATGCTTTAAAGTATGGTTTTATGAGTTTGATATTCTGACTATGTTAAATTAGATGGAGATCGAACTCTCTGCGGTAGATGGCGCCAAGAGTGCTGTGATTTATAGTATGGTGTCAAGAGAGAACACTATGGATCGTGCAGCTCTCCAATCATTTGCCAACCAAGTTCTCAAGCATATGCCTGCTTCGTATAACAGAAGCCTCCTTACAGCTATTCAGGTATGACGGGCATAATGCGACCTACACCATCTAGATAAGCTAAATGGAGATATTTTGCTGATAGGCTACCAAAGTTGAGGACCTTTACCGTGTACTAGACAAGTACTTTGTTAGCTTGTTTGATCCAAAAACTTCCAACCATGTAGTTGTCAGTACATCTGCAAAGGTTCCAGAGATCCAGAAGAGCTTCTCTTCGCTTGGCTTTAACCTTAAATCGACGACACTTAATGATATTGCTGGAGACGCTTCGTCTTAAAAAAACAGTTTATATTTCTTAATGGATTATGATAGGACAATAAACAATTTACTACACATCTTGGCTCGTGTATTCTTGCTTTTACTACTTCAAAGCAACTGGGGCATGTCACATATAAACATACACATGTATGTATATACACGCATATGTTTATAGTTATGTATACGTATTGTAAATAGGGGTATTCTAAACGCTCAAACCAAACACATTGACAATGGCATACAAAGACTTGGTCTCATATCTGTGACTTGCACTTCCTAAATGATCCCAAAACAAGGTCTGGTTAACAAAAGTACTTTTGTTTGATTGCAATCTAAGTTGCTTGTAAAGTGATAATATGACTTGCCATCGTGGAGGTTATCCCAGTAGACGGAGCTTCCGGCATAGAATCCTGCGCCATTCTTTTGCATAATTACACAGGTCACTGTGGAATAGAGTTATGTTATTTGGGGGGTCTGCATTGATAAAGTACTGCTAACTCAAAAATGTGTTTTCTTCTCTTTGGCACGTACCAACATATTTGTAGTTCTTGTTCATATCCTTGAGCTTCTTCAAACAGTTATCGATAATTGTTGAGTTCCAAGAAGGAACCTTTCCATGTGCATAATCAACGTCGAGTAGAACACTTTCCATTGTCTAATAATAAGAGGTATGAGTCTCAACCGTGTTCAAAATGACAGGCGAATAAGTATAGGACCTGAACCTGTTCTTTGGATTGATACTACACCTCTTTAATAATAGCTGTCACTTCTTCAGAATTGAATTTGTTTTTTTCCTATGGGAAGATTGAGCATTGAGATGAATAAGTGAATGATGACCTTACAACGAGGACAGGGGAATTGCTGGCTTCCTTAGCGGGTGAAACAGAACGATTTTCCATTACGAATATTGAAATGAGTAAACAAAAACAGGGAAATAAGCTGAGTTTTCAGGTAGTAAAGTTAGTTTGTCTTTATATATTATAAAGTAAAACAAGGGGAGTTATGAGAGGAGTAGAATGAAGAGGAGGAGGAGAGGAGAACAAGAAAAAAAAAAGAGAGAGGGGGGGATGAACACCAAGTTATCGAGCAAAAGAAGCTCCCAAATCTCGACATGTCACGTGTATGGGATTCTTTTTTTTTTTCGTTTGCCTTGAGCTACTTTGAGATCCCGCTCAAATGATGGACGGGTTATGCGTATCGGTTGAAGGTTCCCATGGTAAGGTAATTACCCTTGATACCCTTGTCTGCATATATACTCTTGACAGCATCAGATACAGGTTTCTTTTTCTCTCTTTCAGCTAACTCCTGGGCGACCTTGTTCATAACCGCAGTGGTGGTTGAAGAGCCAGAAAGAATCTTTTTGGGTAAAGGCGCCTTGATTGGCGAATGGTCTCGCTTTCTCTTCTTTTGTACTACTTCTCCTTCAGGCATATTTGCTAATCTAGCAGCCTTTTTAGCTTTCTACAACAGCCAAAAAAAATAATATTAAATGTTGAGTATCATAGATTCGATCTAACCCATTCGTAATTTTCACCCTTACTCTTTCGGCTTTTTGCTTGAGTTTATTGGCTTCCATTGCCTTCTTAATTGGCTCGAGTTCCTCTTTGGTAGGATTGAGCAAAACAATATCGGAAGAAGTATAGGGCTTTCCACACTAGGGATCCCCATGAATTAATTAACCTAATATTGTTACAAGTATAACTTATTTAATAAAAATTACTTACCGAAACACATTCTTTAGTCTGGATCTCCTTTAGTGCCTGTTCAGCAAATGCGCAGCCACAGGTAGACAAATAAACAAATCGGTGCTTGCCATTCATTTCCTTCATTGACACAGGGCAGATAAAACGGCCCTTAATATCACGTTCGAGATTACCCATAGTTGTGGCATCAGCAGAAACCAGCTTTTCATCATATCCAGGATTAGGAGCGAGATTTAACTTGACAATGTCTTTTGTTGACGTGATGTGCGAGCAAATCTTGTCACCATCGCCATAGGCTGTCTTGTCTAGTATATACTCGATGACTGAATCCTGGTTATATAATTTTCCAAGTGCATCCGAAACAACGGGCTGTTCTAATGGTAGCTATTGATTTAATTTAAGAAAGAAAGAAAAACAAAGAAATAGGTAAATTAGGGAAATGATCTATTGTATACCGACATTTTGGTAAGATTTACCTTTGAAAGAGCACAATGAAGCCATGTTGCTGAACGTTCGATATCAGGATTTTGCTTGACATCCTTTTGCTTTTCTTTGACAAGTTCAATGCGTCTTGGAATCGATCCTCCGTCGTTTCCCATAGCAAGGTTTTTAAAATAAAAGAATAAATAAAACAAATAAAAAGAAGAAGAGGGCGAAGTTTTGCTGGATTGAAAGCTTGAAAAGGCAATAGACGGTTTTGAAGAGTCACGCCGGAACAAAATTGACAAGTGATCCGATGTTTCAAATGTCTTGAATTTCTTTTATATAAGACATCATTTTTTTAAAGCAAGTGTGTTAATTAGGTCTAAGCTTGGTACTAAGAGTATCGATAATTAGGATAAAAATTACTAGATGTATATAAGCCCTTACTAGGTTTAAAAAATCACAGTTAATGATTTTTTCCCTAAGCTGAATAAAGAAACTTTGGGCTTTATTAACAGTATATTTATTACGTATAATTGAGAATAGTTCCAAGGATGCATTTCTTTTTGGTATAAGAATAATTAATAGTTATAATTAATATGAATATATAGTCCTTAATAGGATTTTTCTTTACCTAATCTTGTACAAAAGGGGATCAATACAACAAGGAGAAGACTATAATTATAGATTTCAAATATAGTTTTATGTATCTATTTTTTTTATTACAATATGCTACCAATTATATTCTACAAGTGTACATACAAGTTTGGTAAATTTAATTCGAGGTAATAAAGAGTTATTATTGAAATATATATATATGTCTATATATGCATGTGCAAGCACAATAGAATTGATGATTGTATAAGTAAATTCGGTTGGGCATGTGTACTAATAACAAGATATATAAATATATAAATACAAGGGGCATTCAGGGAGGTGTTAATAAAATGAACATAAAATACATAGCCTAACCATCGCAAGATACCGTAACCAAAGTTCTCTTCTTCTCCATTATGTTGGTATCAGAATTACCATTCGAAATCCTGGCTAATATTGCGGCCTTTTCTTCTCAAGAAACCAAGCTACAATGCACAGTTATTTGCAAGGCCTGGCAGATACCCTTCCAGGATTCACTCTGGGATACCGTTAAGATTACTGACAACAAAGACGACGGAAATTCAGTTCTAGATAGAATAACAGACCTTTCGAAGCTATATAAGAAGAATGGCCATCGGGTTAGATCCTTGATTCTATATATGGACTCGTATATATGTGGTTCCCAGCTTCAGACAGCCCAAGAGTATTTCCAAAGAATAAAGCATCTTTCAATTCAACAAAAAACACTTCACTGGCGTGTGTCAGGCAATTTTACTAACTGGAGGGCATGGAGATCATTGACACATCTAGAAATCGAAATATCGAAATTAAACCATGGTCGCAAGATGGATAAGACGTTCGAAATCCTTTCATTTCTACCACAGCTTACATCACTACATATCATCGACAGTGGACAGACCTCACAATACAGATTTACATGGAGAACTATGGATTTCCTTCATGGATGTTTACCTCGATTACAGACTCTTCAGACAAAAATCCCGCTTATTGATATACCAATACATCAAATAAAGCAAATGACCAATATAGTACCAGCAGAGACAATAACCAAAGTGAACCTCTCATTAAAATATTCAAGCTTTGGTTGGGTGTATTATTCAAATCTCAAATATCCCAATATACACACACTGGGACTACTTACAAGAAGGCAAATGGATGATTACGAAGAGGATTCTATGTCGACTTCCAGATTATCAAATGACGAAGATATGTCTGATGATGATAATGACATGATATACAGCGATGACGATGGAGACCAAGATACATCAGAAGACGACATAGAAGACGAAAATATTTCCGATGATGAAATCTCAGACTATACATTAGAAGATGTGACCAAGATGTTTTCAACTCTTCCATATTTCTTCCCAAGTCTAAAGAAACTAGAGATGAACAAGAACCTAATGTCAAAAGGAGAGCATGATCTCTTTTGGAAATTGATTCGGAAATTTGGCGTATCACTCAAATACCTGAATCACAAATGCTGCTCTATACTCATGGACATGCACAACCCCGAGACAACTGTGATCGATTATGTTGAAGCGTTTTCTCTTAATATCGAAACCTTGTACTATCAAGTAGATCCAAATCCAATGATGCAGCAACCCAATATGACGGCACACCCCATGTTGATCCATTACTATCTATATTTGACTGAGTTAAATATCCGGCTTTACACAGAAGATATGGCGTTGGACGTTCTGCTAAATCATTGTTATTCATTGAAAAGACTGTTCTTGTCCGTCAATGAGCTCACTATATGCGAAGATGCGGCCTACAGACTGGATCCACATAACTTGGAGAGATTGGAGCTTTACGGGGTCAAGGCCAGAACATCGCTATTCAACTATCTTTCTGTCCGCTGCGAGAATTTGACCCACATGGTTTTTTGTAATGTTCGGATATTTGGACCTATCTCTCAAGAAACAGGAAACATCTGTCTTGACATGCGATACACGCGTTTCAAAGTCTTGAGACTAGGAAACGTACGATTTTATTCCGAAAGGGATTTAGGTCTCGCTGAATACGAGTACAAAGATAGGATGATCCACCTCATCACGATTGAGCAAATCGAATCTATGCATAACAAGACCAGTCCATCTAATAGCCTTTTGCAGGTACCAAAGGCTCCAACGATAGAGCAGCTGTGGTTTCTTTACTTTAAGGACAAGAAACGTAGAGAAGGATGCTTTATTGCACAAAAACTGAACAGATCGCAGGCCAGACTTATTCAAGACTACTTTAGAATGTTTGAACGTATCAACAAGCGTCCATGTGATCACAAGGGAAATAAGTACAGTAAAGATGAGCCCGAAGAAAATTGTTATTGGGCAGATCACCCTCCTCGAGGTTATGTTACCCTGCGTTGTGGATATGTCGCTAACTATTCTGGAAAATCGATTTTTGAAAGCAAATTTGTTACTTGTAATTGAATATTCGCTTGATAATTTCTAATATATTTATTATAATTCACAGCCAAAAAGGAACTTATTCTGCTATCAATATAATCTAAAAAGGTGTAATCAAAGGGTGTTCATTTTTTTAAAAAGAAATTTTGGGATTAATCTCATGACACACACACGTATATATATGCATGTATATGTATATATATATATATATATATATACTTCATCTCCTATATTGTGCATACTATATAAATTTGGCTCTACAGAATTATGATTTTCATATGTCTTAATTTAGCGAAGAGTTTCCTTATACTATCAAGCCAAGGGATCAATGTGTGCGTGTGCGTAGGGTTCTTTGAATGCACACAATCCCCTGAATACTATTGACAGCTCGCGTGGCAAAATAAGACCCTTAATAGAAGATGCTCAGAGCACGACAACATGCACCTATGGTGTAAGTGTGTATGGGTAGGTAATGATTTGCTAAAAACATAACCCTAAAGCATAAGTCTTAAAATATATTCATCATATATAATAATTTGTAAAATATGCAAATAAATATACGCCAGCAATAGAACTTGCTGAAAAATTAAAAGTGAATAGCCATATAAACAAAATGCGCCAAGAAGCTAAGTTTTGCGAGTTCCTTGGGATAAAGAAGAATTGATTTGCATATAGTGTATCAAACCAAGGGGTCTTAAAAGGGAGTCTACAAAAGCAGCTATTAATAACACGATTATGTGTGCTTATACGTTGGTCTCCTCTTTGCCTGCTTAATAAAAGGTGCTATGTAAGATCTCCTTGGTCACCTTAAAAAAGCCGATTTCTTCTTTACCAAATTCCTTGGAAAACTAATGTGTCGAGAATAGAACGATTAAGTTTGTTCTTGTGCAGATTTTATACATAAAGCTTAAATTGGATCATCCTAAAGTTTCTCAATAGTATTATAAGCAGAAATATGCTGCAAATTAAATACTACAATAGGCATATATTTAGCACTGAAGAGAATTGTAGGGTCATTAATGAGTACTTTAGAAGCGTGGTTCTATATACCTATATATTATAACTTGATTCCCATGTATTTCATTCTTTATCAAAAAATGAAATTAATATGCAAATCAATAGTAATTACAAGCAATATTGTTTTTTTTTAATATAAAATCTATATTTCTTTTAAAGGTCTTTGGATATTGAACAGAAGAGAACATAATGGTTCGGATACGTTGGTAGTTTATCTTATCTTCTTTCGTACTATACCTGGTTTATTCAATATTCCTTTTATATGCCTTTAAGAAACCGGAAACCTGGGATCATTCAGATTTGAGTGTATCAAATTTGCTTATATATATATATATTTTATATCATTAAATGTATATATGAACGCCGGATTGTTTGATACCACAAAAGAGAAAAAGTAAAGATATATAAGTGTAAAATAAAATGCAAGTAAAACATATAAAGTAAAGAAATAAACCAGAGTAAAGGAAATATAGGTAGGTGGCGTTGTGTAGCTCTCATAAAAATAAAAAGGAATATTGAAATACACTTCTTTTTTTTTCGGTAGGGTCTTTACATATATATATATATATATTACCCCCCCTCTCTCTCTCTTATGCACCATAGAGCTAATAACATAATTTAAGTTAGCACACGAAACCTACAGTATATTTTGGAAATATATATATAGATTTTTATCTTACCGTAATATAACCATCATCGCCGCCTGTAGCCAGAACCATAAGATTAGGATGGAACGCAAGTGAGCGTGTGACACATCTTTGGCCAAGGAAGCCAGAAGACGAACGTAAAGAAGAAAGTTGTGTGCCATCCATATTCCATAGCTTAATGATCTGATCGTCACCAGCGCTATTCATAATAAATTTGTGAATATCCAGAACCCTTCATTCATTCAACTAGTTACTCATGTTTCCCCCCTTTTTTTAATACCTGGCAATTACTTGGCTGTGATCATGTACAGCCAAGGCATTCATATCCACATTGGAATGGGCATCGATAGTTCTCAAAGAATGAGTCTGGCGAATATCCCAGATTTTGATATCTCCTCCCAGACCACCAGATACTAATTCACGATTGCCATCTCGCTGAAGGTGAACATCTGCTATCCATGCCTTATGCTCATCCCATCGTTGAACCATACTGTATGGACATAAACAATAATCAGCACTCAGTTCATCCTCAAGCTTTATCATTATCATTATCATTATCATTGTCATTATTGACTTACGACTCATTTCCCTTCAAACGACGATCATATACACCCATCAGACCATCACCAAAACCAGCAATAATTATATTGCCATTAACTTGATCACTTGTAATGCATGTAACGCATGCAGTGGATTGTGTAGGAATATCCTATTGTAATAAAAGTATATTAATATTATATGCTGTGGATATACGACCAAATTTTGATAATGATATTATATTATATTTGAACTTTGAATTTTTTATATATTGCACTTACCATGATTGGCATTTCCTGATTAGCATCCCATACTTTAATAACACGCGCATCACCACCTGTAAAAAGTATGCCTCTACTTTGGTGCCACTCGCACACAAGCCCACTCTGTCTTAGGCTGCTTCTTTCCATATCCTTTAGAGCACGCCATGAGCTAACTAAAACAGCGTCTTCCTGATCACTGCCATCATAGTTTTTATAGAGGCGAACTACACCATCATCTAAAGGTATGCACAGTTAAATTAAATAATTAACGAAATGATTTCCGACAAGGTTCTGGATCCAACTAAACCCATTTGTTACGCACCTGATCCAGTCAGCAAAAGAGCCACATCGTCTTCATTAATGAACTTTATGTCGGTAATACGGCTGCTCAATGGGTTATGATTGTCGATGACACTCAACGGAGTACCTGTTTTCCAGTCCCACACACTAATAAAATAATACAATGGTATTATAAGTTTTTCTCTCTCTCTCTCAAAAAAAAAAGGTTGACTATCACTGCAGTCTCGAGACTTTTTGCTTACACCATGCAGTTGTAGGCATCTGCTGCTACCAGATGTGACTCATATTGATGGAACAAGAGTAGTTTTGCCTCAGTCTCATTATATACAGATATAATCTGCTCTTCCCAACGGCTAGTCCCTGAAATAAATTAAAATCATGTTCCTTGTTGAGTTTAACGATACCATTTTAAGCCCTCATAAAGCTTTAAATCATACCAGCCCTGCCCTTGGTTGCATTCGACTCTGCCAGAATCATTTCGTTCCGAGATCTACGCCATTTACGTTGATTATACACAACACTTCCAGGCTCGTCTGATTCAGCAGCCTATTTGGAGCACCCCGTATTATTAAATATGAATCTTATTTTGTACAAACTTCTTCACCATCATATAGCTAGACTATAATTACTTACACGCATTTGTGGTTCTGTAAAATATTCACAGCTCCAATCATAGAAAGTTGAGGATAAAGGCAGGCCATGCTCTATTTCTGTAGCTTTTTTATCTGAGCCAGTTTGACGAACAGATCCCTGAGCTTTAGAATTGGCACCGAGCAAAGTACTGGCATGTTGAGCAAGCGGACTACTGCCTCTCAGGGTATCGCGTGAACCGGATGGATTATTGTCGTGAAGACCACCCGTACTCAAATTACCAAAGTTGTATATTGTACGTAAGGTGGATGCAAAAGACACTGAGCGTGTAAGCTTGACAGGTCTACGATGGGGAGATATACTGGATGATTTTTCGTCATGATGGAATGATTGAGAGCGATCAAGAGAACCATGTTCTGCACTACGTTCTATACTTTCTCGCACAACCAAGGAAGCATACTCACCCAAAGGAGTGGTTTTTAGCAGAGTAGCATTAATATGGTCAACAACAATAGAGGCTGCTTTGGAAACACTTGGGTGTGGATCAACCGAAAGGTTGAGAAGTGCTTTCCACATCACGGCATAGACTGAGTCATAGCTTGTGGTGCCAAAGTGATTTTCCGATCCGTTAGGGCGCCAGTCTCCAGGTCTCGTGCGTACCTTGGCTCGTTCATCAAGATGAAGGCCTCGTTGGTTTTGATCTTCTTCGATAGTTTGGGTAGCTGCTGCCAAGAACTTGGCGGGTCCTGCTTGGTGAACAATATGAGAAAGTGCAACGACAAATTCTTTGCGAACGATCGGTGAGCCATCAGACATAGCAGAAAGGGCAGATATGGCAATGTTGTGTTCAATGTTTACAATTTGCTCCGTCTTATTCGGATCGCCAAGGAAGGTACCGAGTGCATACATGGCCGAAGCACGTACTTCAGGTACACTGTCTGACAACAAGGCACACAGCTTTTCGTGGCTGTTTTCAGCTACTGCCGCTGCCTTGGCTTCGCTGTTGTTCATCCAAACCTGTGCCAAGCACAGGCAAATCCATTGTCTCAGAAGTGAGTCTGGATCTCGCACGTGGGCCAAACATGCTGCGATAACATTGCTGCGAAGACATGCCTGTTGTCCCATTTTGAAATTCGTACAAAATACAGATAAAATAAATGCACTCATTGCTCGATGCTCAGATACATGGGGAATACTCAGCATTGCGTTATTAGGGGTCAAGATGTTAATGAAGTAAGCATATCCATGGTCTTTCAAGAGGTCATTTTGGCATGAACGATCCACTGCAAGAATGCGAGCCCAGATAAACACCAGAACTGGCTTCAATTCAGCGGCCGGACTCTGGAGTAGTTTGAGCACATAAGGAAATATACCAACCGACAGAGCGGCATTAACGGCCCAAGGACCAAGATCGAGAAATCGACTAAGAAGAATAAGGGCACGTAGACGATGTACTTGACTGAGCAAGACTTGGAGTACAATAGGTAATTGCTCTGGGATCTTTGGGTTAACGGCCCCTTCAGATAGCCAGACTTCAAACGCAGTGAGCTGTTCGGCAAAAAAGGTGCTAGAGTTGTATGTATATGCTGGTCCTCCAGCCTCTTCTGCAAGAAGAGCAGGGAGTTGGAAGAGACACATGTCAACTGCAAGATCCCACGATTGCCACATTGGGTGGTCATGGGTTTCTGGTAGTCCTGGTGTGGACATGGGTGTGCACTGATATGAGCGCATAATACGCTCTGCCAATAGAAAGTTTCTGAACATAGATGCGACCGTAAGATCCTGTCTGAATAGCCTTTTGAATAGTTCTGGGTTGTCTTGGAGTACGCACCACGCAATTGTATCCGTAACTGCTGTGAAAATCCAATTAAGTTCACCAAGCGGTGTGCGTCTCTCGGTTGCTCTTCCGGGTAACCGTAGTACCATATCCATTGTAATATTTGAGGTTAGAAGAGGGTTACGCATAACTACCCAGCGTAAGGACATTTCGATTGGTGTTGTTAAACATGCTGTAAAGACGTCAGCTGGAAGGTCTGGGTTCATTGGTAAGGTTTCTGTGGGACCACAGGCTGCAAGCTGAATACAATCTCTCCAGGCAGAAAGAGGAAGACTGCCTTGGTTGTGTTCGGCCAGACGCATGGCTTCTGTATCACGCTGTTCGGCAAAGCGATTAAAAGCGTTGATGATATTGCCTGCGGATGAACAATCCCAGACATAGATTACTGGTGACCCCAGCCACAGTTGAAGATCCAACAATGACACGGGAATGTACTGGGTATAATTGCGGTTAAATACCCAGATTTCACCACTGGCTGTTGGTTTTGGTACTCCATGGCCGTTGTAATGGAAGAGAATGCGCTCTTCTTTTGCATTTCGCCGCATTTGGCAGCATACTTTCTTAGTTTCCTCTACAGATGGGTCCAGCGACAGCTTGAACCGAGTTCGACCGTTGATATTCTCGTATTGGGTATGTAGGTTCTTTCCGATTGCCTCGAGTGACTTTAGTGGGACGAGTAGAGTTGGGTCAATCCAACACTCAAACTTTGCGCAAGGGTTTGTCTTGACTACGTCCGGAGGATCCGTTCCTATATTTAAGCACACCACCAATAGACCTATTTATGGAGGTTTAGTCTTATCTTTTCTTTTATTTCTCTCTGTTGTTGAGGTGATTGTTCAGCATCGTAAATTGATTGGTCTTGCCTGAGACAGTCTTGATCCTCTCTCTCAGACGCTAAAATAAATCCACAGTATTTGTCAGCTTCTAAGGTCTACCCACGCCTTTGATTTTCTTCATTTTACCCAGTCAAGAAGTGCACTTTGTGTAGTAGTTGTAGTTGTAGCTGCTGTACTTGATGCGGGAGTGGCATTGGTATCATGACGTTTCTCTGAAAAATATAAGAAGCGCATAAGGTCTTCTTCGTATATCTCCTGATCGAAGCCGTGGCGAACAGGTGAAACAAACTCCAGAGATTCCTGTTGTTCTCCTGTAGCGTCTGGGCCAGCATCGATGTCGTTTCTTGGGTTGGCTTCTCTGCTCACGAGTGTGCTGCTCGTACTTCGTGCGTCCTCATTATTGTTAAGCTCATGGTGATTCGGGAGCTGTATAGCAGTTGGCATGACTTGCATTCCAATCCAATGCCTTTGTTAAGAATATTTGTACAAAAACCAAAAAAAAAGGTAGGGGCAGGGGCAAGAGAAGAAAGGTAGGTTTGATGGCTTTTATTGTATTGTATTGTATTGTATTGTATTGTATTTTATTTTTTATTTTATTTTGGAATTTGGGGATGGAAGTCGTGCTTACCGAAAGCTGCAACTCGAATTCTTTCTGTTGATGAAATTTACAAAATAAAAATAAATATAAAAATATAAAGCGAAATATATATGTATATACTTACTATATTATATATATTTATATATGTGTGTGTATGTATGTGTATGTATATAAAAAAGATATTGAAGATGGAATAGCTGGGTTGACCAAGGCAAGCTTAGATTGCTAAAGACACCTCTTAACCAAAAACCTTATGTGTGACGTGGCCTTTTTTTGGGTTAAAATGTGGAATATGTTGTAATTGAGTTGATTGAATCTTATTGCCTAGAAGTAAAATTGTTGTTGCTGTATTACTCTTACTAGTAGCAGCAACAAAATATCTTAAAATCAAATATGTGCATATATTTAGATATTTACCTATCTAAATAATTGAATTTATTTGAACCTATTACAGGGTTTAAACCCAAGTGATTATTGGATTTTGTAACAAATTAAACAACTTTCTACACGATGATATTCTTTTTAAGGAACCAATCTACGGATTTGGAGCCTGGTCTACCTTTGGTAGGCTTATTGTATTTTATTTTGCATAAGTCCGCCCATTGATGAATTCCCCCCGCTCGCTGTTTCTACACTGTATTTTATTTTATCTTATTTTTAGTGTCTAGTACTTTTTGACCACAAAGCTACAAAGCCAAAACCTTTTTTCTCGCCTATATTGACTGTGTAATAATATCTATTATTAAACATCAATCTACCAATGAGATCATATTGCTATCTGGCCATTGTGTTGAACTATGGGCGAATGAATCATTCAATTGGTCTCCAAGATACTGTTTCTGTAAAATATATTCTCCCGGTAGTCAGGATGAGATCAATAAAGAAATCAATACTTTATACTGTTATAATGTATCATCAACTACCATTTTGACGGCATACTCTAATATACACATTGGTTCGGAAGTTGTCATGGTTTTATGTTTGCATAAAGTCAATCTCTTTGTCTTGAAGCTTATGTTGCCATATAGTCCACATAATCATATCCGCAGAATTAAATAGATATAAAAAAGACCAATCGACCAACCAACCTTGATATCTCTCTATCTTTCTATTTATCAACCTTAAAATGTGTATATTTATCTGCGGTGCCGGTGGTAATAAGATGATAAATTATTATTCATATATCATACTGATTGAACAATTTACAGGCAAGAAAGTTAAGCAACCTAAGCCGTACAGACCTTATAAGGGAGAACGCAAGTCGCTTGGGTGCTGCGATATAATCTACTATCGCAAATCTGATCTACCTCCATACGAAGCCAAACAACAAGAGCAGACTAAACAGAATATAATTCCTTGAACACGAAAAAAGAAACCCCTATTGAATTCCTGCTGTGTGACCAATATCCAAAGAATATTATCCTATGCATGCAATTGTATTTTTTCTTCTTGTATAAACTGCATCTGTTTGGTGCAGTAGAAAACTCTTATTAGAATAGTCTTTGTTTCAACACATATATACATTATTATTCTTTTTGGATATCGTTTTTTTGTTTTGTTTAAAATTAGATACCGCTTCATTTGACCTTTATTTGCTAAACACCAATACATATACTGTATTCACTTTCTGTGCTTTGTTTGACACTGTATTCTATTCTATCATGGTAGCAAAGTAACTCAAAAAATATTCACGTCACAGACAATACAAAAAAAGTATTTTATACACATATAAAAAAATAAAGGAACGAGTGCAGGAAACTACAACGTCATTTTTTTTTACCTCCTCTCGCCTTTAACTTTACACTATTTACAATGAGCGACGATGACTTTATGCTCGAAGATGACGATCAGGCAAGTCTAGTTATCTAATGTTCTTATTTGAATGAACCTAACTGTAATTTAATTTCTACAATGTATAGGACTACGATTTTGACTACGAAGATGGAAGCGATGACGAAGAGCCCGATGTAGACTTGGAAAACAAGTACTATAATGCAAAAGGTTTTTATTGAACAAACCTAAGCATTAAGCTTTTAAAATAACTCATCCTTCAATCCCACTTCATACAGCACGAAAGGAAGACGATCCAGAGGGTGCGATCTCTGAGTTCCAAAGCGTAGTAGACACAGAAGAAGAAAAGGGTGATTGGTATGTTGGACCCGCGAGTCGTATATTCAAAGGAGACGATAAGAAAGAAAAGAAAAGGATGTTTGGGTTGACAACTTTGTATCTGTCTCTTACTTTAAAGGGGATTCAAAGCATTGAAACAAATGATCAAAATATCTTTTCAACTGGGAAAACACGAAGAAGTAAGCCCTACAACATCTTTCTCTCTTTCCTTGTGTATGTGTGTGTATTTGATAAACCGAGATTGACTGGAATATGGCTGCAATAGACACTGAAATACTACCATGAACTATTGACTTATGTCAAATCAGCTGTCACTCGCAACTACAGCGAGAAAAGTATCAATAATATCCTGGACTATGTATCAACCGCAGATAATATGTCGTTTATGGAAAAGTTCTACCAGACTACACTTGATTCCCTTTTAGAGACAAAGAATGAAGTAGGCAATGAATCAGAGGAGGCTTTAGTACATATATGTATATAAAAATCTAACAAGAATTATTAGCGTTTGTGGGTCAAGACAAATCTTAAGCTAGCTAAGCTTTGGTTGGATCGCAAGGAATATGGTCGACTCAACAAGGTTAGAAATGAATAAATTCGATCAAGCATATATAGTCAAAGCTGAGATTGGGTACATGGGCTATAGATTCTTCGACAACTTCACTCTGCCTGTCAAAAAGATGATGGAACTGATGATCAACGCAAGGGAACTCATCTCTTGGAAGTACTGGCACTTGAAATCCAAATGTATACCGAAACAAAGAACAATAAAAAGTTAAAGGTAAGCAAAGTTAAAGTTTAATAAGACACTTATTTACACCTATATCTGGTTCTTGCTATTAGGAACTCTATCAGCAATGCTTACATGTTAAATCTGCCATACCTCATCCTCGTATTATGGGTGTTATCCGCGAGTGTGGTGGTAAAATGCACATGGGAGAAAGTGAGTTTTTAGATATCAAATTGGAAAAGAAAAATAAGGTTCAATCATAGGCTGAAAACTAATGGTATGCCTTGATCAGAACAATGGGATGATGCCCAGACAGACTTTTTTGAATCTTTTAAAAACTATGATGAGGCAGGAAGTCCACAACGTATCCAAGTTTTAAAGTGTGTAATATTCTCTCTCTTTGTGTGTGTGTGTGTGGTGTGGCGAATGAAATGTGTACTAATTGCAAAAAAAAAATAAGGTATCTGGTACTAGCAACTATGTTGACTGAATCTCAGATCAATCCCTTTGATTCACAAGAAACAAAACCGTAAGTTGTTTAATGTGTGTTTATTATACTTTTAATGCTAAAGTCTTTTTAACGATCCATAGATACAAAAATGATAAAGAGATTGCTGCAATGACTAGTTTAGTAAGCGCTTATCAAAAGAAAGAAATCCGTGAATTCGAAAAAATCTTGAAGAGTAAGACATTATACACTTGAGAAATAGAAATGTTACTAATCATAACGAATTATAGCAAATCACAATTCAATTATGGGTGATCCGTTTATTCGAACTTACATTGATGATGTGCTCAAAAACATCCGTACTCAAGTGCTTATTAAACTCATTAAGCCTTATACCCGGATAGAACTTGGCTTTATCTCCAAAGTAAGCTTTGTTTTAATGTGTATTTGACGGTATACTGACTTTGTCGAATTTAATTAGCAACTTAATATTCCTGTGGAAGAAGTAGAGGAGCTATTGGTGGGACTTATTCTAAATGAGAAGATTGCAGGAAGGATTGATCAAGTTAACGCTAGACTTGAGCTTGATCGAAGGTAAAACATAAAAAAACACGCAACTGCGCAATTGCTGTGCACCGATTAACAAAATCCAATCTTAAATAGACTGACAGATGCCCTTCGGTACGAGGCTATCGACAAGTGGTCCAACAATGTTTCTTGTCTAGGAAAAACAGTGATTGGGAAGGCAACATAAATCAACTCTTCTGGATTTACACACTTAGTTTATACACATCTTTATAAAGATAATAAAACACGAAAACAAAAAAAATAGTCTTTTAAGCGATTCCACAAATATGAAGCATAATATTTTCGTTTTTATTTCATTTCATTTTTATTTGCATTTATGTATTTATGTATACAAGTATATGAAGCTATACTACAAAGATTTTCTCACAGACACTATCAATTCGTGCATGACTTTTGTCTAGAACCCAAAATTGTTGTTGCGGTTGAAACCAATCTGTTCCAATGCAGACAGAAGTTGGGTTCTTGCAGCCGGGATATCTTCATAATTAAGTGCGCTGATGGCCCACTTGGCATTCTTCTGGGCAGCAGTCATTGCAGCAGGACTAATGGTAGTAGGAGGAGGAGCATAATTAACTGTCGGGGGAGGAGCAGAGACAGGTACAGAAGTAGGAGCTGGGGCTGGGGTTGGGGTTTGTTGATGATAAACTGGTGCTGAATAGTTGGCGCTGCCATTGTTTGGAGGGGCGGTATTCACGGGTGCAACAGGAAACTGGGGTAAACTAGAGGGTGTGGGTGGCAAGTCTCCAAGTGTGTTGGATTGATCGCTGGGTGAAGGTAGAGGGGCAGTAAAGTTTGAAGGGGGGCTAGGGAATTCCGAGATCGAAGGGGTTGTTTGAAAGGGTACGATATCAGGATCTGTTACTGCCGCTGTAGTTGGTGCAGCAGGTGCTGTCGCTACAGCAGGAAGATCTCCAACCTCTTCATTTTCCTCTATAATCCCACCAGGTGGTCCAGGAACAGGTGTGCGCCCTTCACGCAGGGCCTTCATAATATCAGCCGCCTTCCATTTGGCATACTTGATCTTGGCTTCCACTTCGGGATCTAAATCTCCAAACGACTTTAAAAGCTCCAAGAATATCGAAGCAGCTAAAAAGTTCTTTGCTGTCTTTCTATATACATATAAAAACATTAAATGAAAATGAAAAACACATACGATTCTGAAATATTTTACTAAAACGTATTATTTGGAAACGTACTTGCTTGCATTGCCGCTGCGATCTTCGTTGTCTGCATTCAGAAAAACTTTAAGAGCAAAGTTTTCAACGTGTGCATAGCCAACAATATCATCTACGATAGCTTCGTTGTCTGTTCCAAGAGCAGCCTTGAGCTATTAAAGTTGTGATAAGATTAGAAAATACTTTTTATTTGTAATCTGCAATTAGATTACCTTCTCTAATGAGTCGAGAAGATGCGACAGATAAGCGTTGGTGTCTTTGTTGTTGGGACCCCTCGCGATGGCAAGCTTCACAGCATAGTATTGCGCTATTTATTTTATGTGAATATATGATATTATAATAACAAACGAGGCGTTACCATAGTAAGATACTATAGGATCTCTCTCAGCCAGCTCTTGGCTCCGTTGTACATATGGTGTAATGTACTTTAGTTCTTCAGGAATGCTCATTATACAAAATTTAACTATGAGGACTAAAGAGAGTTTCTTATTTTAAATGCGCTTTTATGTGCAGCTTCCTCAACCCTGAGTAACCATCTCTCAAACACTCTTTCCATTGCCACTGTTATTGAATACCCGACACTTCCCTTAGCCCATTGTTGCGTCATAGCACTATTGAACCATGAACCTCTTTACACACCCATACTCTAGTTCCATGCTTTTAAAAGCAAAAAAAATGGCCAAAACCAAAAAACAAATAAAGGCGCAAAATCTTTCTTGAATTTTTAATGATTAAGAAAGTTATACGATGCTGTGTCGGTGAAACCAAGAACAAAATGCTACAGTAAAAGTGAATGCAGGCAAATTGTCTTTTTGTTTGATAGTTTCTCCAATGCCGTTTTCATCATTGAATAAAAAAGAATTTAATGACGACGGGACTCGGCAATGACAGCAGAGAGCTCCTCAATCTTCTTCTTGGCACGGAGGAAGGTACCGAGTCTCTTCTTGGTGAGCTTCTTGGCGCGCTTGTCCTTGGAGTTCTTGATCAATTCCATGACACGACGCTCGTAGGGGGCGAAACCGACAACCTCACGGACGATGCTGCGGACAAAGGTAGTACGCTTGGAAGCGGCCTAGATATTAAAAGAAAAGAATAGCAGAATGAGAAAATGATTCTTTTGTTTGACATTATGGATGGTAAAGATGTTGGTAGTTTGCTTGCTTTTTTTTAACATGATCTTATCAATGAAGTAAGCATTTATGGATTGAGATTCTCTTGGATATCTTCCATCCAAAATAATCTTTATCCATTAAATACATCCAAATGATGTCAATATGTCCAAAAGTCAATACATCCATCCATCCATCTACCCATCCATCCATATAATAAGGAGGAATGTATACGTACACCCTTGGTGTAGGAGGGGGTGATCTTCAATTCACGGCGGGTGACGATGTGACCCTTGTTGAGGCCGACGGCAAGACCAGACTTCTGCTGAGGAGCCATTGTGTATTGATGCGAAACGGAAGGAAGGACCCACCCCTTGCGCCTGCTCGACAGACCTCTTTGACCGAGCGCCACGCCGATCTCTAAGATTCCTGCACGTGACTGTCAACTCGGTAACTTTATTTTTGACGTATCGTGCAGACCACAGCGAGCATTGGCCACAAAAACTGTATATAATATGTTCTATTTAATTCTTATAATTGCTTAAAGTATTAGTAGCTTGTACATTTTTACAAGGGTTATATTAAAGAAGTAGTCAGACACTCTCTTTTACTGCTATTTCTAAATATTATACTGATCTTTTTTTTTCTGCAAAAAATAAATAAATAAAATAAAATAAAAATATATAAACTACCTATTATGTTAACATTTGATAATAATACAGTTTTATTTCAATTATATTCATTATTAATTAATCATAATATTTTTTTGTTACTAAGATTATATACAATCATTATAAGAGCATCGATTGAACATCAAAATACATCATTATTGAATTTTTATTACTTTTTGTTAAAATATTTTCTCTTTACTTGAGCCTACAAAAAAACATACTGAAAAGAGTATACATACAGTCTATTAGTTTTACTCAAGACCTTACAACAGATCATCAAATCTGCCAAAATCAAGGAAATGATCATCTTGTTTGCTTTCTTTGTTCTTCTTGTGACTGTTGTTACATTAGCGAGTAGAGCAACAAGGAACCAAACTTGTGTGTTAGTCTTTATCTAAGCAATGGCTACCTCGATTCTTGGACGTCAGACTCTTCGAGCTTGTGCTCGGTAATTATTAAAGGAAACCGCATTCGATTCATAAAACCACCCTAATTACCTTTTTCTACAGTGTAAGTCCTTTGATTACTCGACCCCTGGCCCAGCGTCCTGGTACCTGTCGCAGCTTGTATATTAGTGGACTTCATGTCTCATCGCCTAGTTTGAGGTATAGATAAAACTGAATAAGTTTTTCTTTATTAAAGCAAAGTCTTTTTGTCAAAAAGGTTAAAATAATATATATATAAAGGAATTATATTTTGTTCAGGCAGTAAAGTTTATTTATTAAATATCTCTGTTGTTGTTGTTTTTTAACAGAGCTAGCCCAGCAAGTTTGATCAAATATCGTGCTTCCTCTACATCTACCAACAAACAACAAACACCCGTTACCCCTGCTGAACCCAATACAAATGAACCCACCTCTCGTATCGGTAAATTTATCAAGTTCTCCAAGGATCTTATTTCCTTTTACAAGAACGGTTTGAAGCTCCTCTGGGCCAACGGCAAGACTGCCAAAGCTTTGAAACAAAGAGTACAAAATGAAGGCTACAACTTGAACAGAGCAGAATTCCAGCTTGTATGTCTCTATTATTATTATTGCTAAAAGAAACCATACTTATAATATCCACTTTTTAATAGGTACACAACTCGCACAAGGATATGCTCAAGCTTATTCCTTTTGGCTTTGTTTTTATGATCCTTCCTGAATCTGTAAGTGTTTTATTTTGTTCTTTCATCTACTTACTAAGCTGCGGATAAATGGCTAATTATAATTGAGAAAAGATTCCATTGTTAGTTATGTATGTCCCTGGAGCTGTTCCCAGCACCTGTTTGAAAGAGAGCCAAGTGGTAATAATTATATTAAGTTAAAATCACCTATATATAGGATCAAAGCTTAACTAATACATATATGTAATATTATTATAACTTTTTTTAAAAAAAATAGATTAAGCAGCGCGAGAAGTTGGATAAGATCCGTCAAAACATGTCAAAGAATGTCATTATGTCTGCCGATAGCATTGAAGGCGTAAGTTATACAATATTTATTTATACAAACGCATGCACGTCTTTTTGTTTCTTTGGAAAATGATTGGTACATTGGATAAATCGTGGATTGGATGGAACTACTTTAATAATGTACGAATTTCATTATGTTTGTAGATCTCTCCTGAAGACTTTTTGAACCCTAGAACCTTTGCAAAGACAGCAAAGGCTTACAACTATGATTTTGAACTCACTCGCATTGATCGGGCACACTTGTCCTCATACTGCTGGTAAGACTTCTCGATATTTGACAATAGCTTTATTAACTTTGCTATTTTTTTGGGGGTATTAACTAGCTTCATGGGCCTTTCTGGATGGGGAACACAGGGTATTCTCAAGAAGCGTTTGAACAAGCATTTAGACTATCTTTTTGAAGATGACAAGGTAAACAATAAAATATATAGTATACCCTTCTTACCAACAACTGAATAAATTAATTTATTTTGTTTTGTTTTCCTGGAAAAAGCTGATCGTAAAGGAAGGTATTGAAACTCTTCCTCTTCCTGAGCTCCAACAGGCTGCTGAAGAACGTGGCATGTGAGTAACAGACCAATTAATATATATATATATTGCATGTGTAGCTTATCATTTATTGTTGTAGTCGTTCTATCAATGCCAACGGGGATTCCCTTCGTCGTGCTATCAAGTACTGGATTGCGGTGACCGCTATGGATCCCCCAGTATCGCGTGGTTTGCTTGTCTTTAGCCGCATGTTCTTGCTCAATGCAAACTATAAGTAGAATTAGACCGTAAAAGCCATTATATAATTATTGAATTAGATCAATAGATACAAATAAGACATATTTCTTATCATAAAGCTGCTCGAAAACGTCAGTGTGTTACCTAAAAATGCTAGAATCAGATCAATCGGCAAATACAAAAATGTTCGCTATTTATACGATAGTCATGTAACAATGTTATACAATGTCTCATACTAAGTTGACTTTATTATTTTTATATTTGAAATGATTATAAAAAGATATATATGAATTTAAAAATAATAAAGCATTTTTTTTCTGATATATATTTTTCTGGTTAATTACATGGCTTATTACAGCTTTCTTTCATGTAAAGATCACCGGGACTTCTTTAACGAATGGTTTCAATTTTCTTGGTGTGTTTGGGATTTTAATGGTTGTATCTTTTTTTTTTCGGTACGTTCCATGATTGAACTTAATGAGTCTTTCGAAAGAGATGTAATGGTATATTGCAGAAGAAGATGGTTTAACTTAAAATGATTAGAATTAAATAAGACATATTATTACTAAAGCATCAAAGGTAAAACATGTGATTGGATTTGGTATCAACCATAACTTTTATTAAATTACGAAAAAGCTTTTTGATGTTGCCTCAATATTTGCGTAGGAAAGTTCTATCGTTTAGGCCTCCAGAAAATTCAATAAGTGATAGACTTGTTTTATTGCCAACTTTAAATAGAATTCTATAAAATTCAGGCCGGTTTGTTAAGTAAAACACTCTTTAAAACCACACAAGTTCTATTATGCCGTTGTTTGCTATAGATCTGATAGCGTGCGGCTGTTATTTCGAGCATGCCTTTTATTCAGGAATTTTTTGGAGGTCTTATCAAGTCCAAACTACGGATTTGTGGAATAACGATATACTAAATATTCCTTTTTCTGCTACTTACAAATATGTTGCGGCCACTTACATAAATCTGGTATCTTCATGAGCTATCAAAGTATTTTTGATATACGGCACGATTCAAATTTTCACGGAGTTTTTGAATCAATAAAATGTTTGTTAATCCTGAGGGGACGGCGTTTTCTGGTGGGAGGCGACATTTTGGTTCTATCAAACCACAAATTGAGACTTTTTTGCTGACATGGAGTAATCATATCTGGTACCTAAGACTCCATTCTTATTATAATAGTTAATACAAGCTTGGATACAGAATTGTCGTATCAAGATTATCTTTTGTGCTTTGAAAAAAAACAGAAATAAAAGGATAAGCGGGGATTATTCACTAGCTGATGCGTTAAAACTGGTTCTGTCTTTTTTCAATGATAAATTTTGGGCTACTTTACGGTAATATAGATACAATAGATGAAATCAAGAGAAATATATAGTACGCGTAAGAAGACCAATAAATAGTAAAATATTCAACAATAATTAAAATTTCTCCTTGTAGTATTTGTATAATTGGATATTGATATAGTGTGTTTTTTATGATAAAATCTAAATTTAGGATGCAAACAATTATTTTGATGTCAATATATTGTATGAACTTCAAGATACACCATTTTGCCTTAAAGGATTAGAGAAGGGCACTAAGCCCTAGAGAGATAAACACAATTAATCAGTCTGGTGAAATAAAAACGTCGTGCCTCACCAGAAAAATTCGGCCCTGTAGGATCACTCTTTGTGTGTCTATGATAAACAAGCTCTGTCAAATCGTGGATGTCTATAGCGAAATAACACAAATCGTGATGAGTCGCCTAGCATTTGATCTTAATGAATATATATTAATTGTTTTATTTTTATTTAGTTTGACTTATTGATCAAAAACTTATCTTGCCCTTGGCTATATTTATATGATCAACTGATAATAAAGTTAACATGATGTCTGAATAAGATATATTCTCAAAATAACCATCACTTAGTATGCACCCCAGGAAAAAAAAACGAGAAAATACTATCACAGCAAAAATATCATTTTGTTATTATGTACCTTGGATACAAAGTCATTGTTTATGGCAATAGCATTCCACATTTACAATTAATTGTTGCCAGATTGGTAGACCAATTTTTTTTATTGTGAGTTACAAACCATCGTACTACATTACGAATAAGTATTTTTTGGCTAATTACATTAAGTTTTGGGCTTCAATTCAAGGCAATCGATTGATCTGTGGAGAAGTAATATGTACCTATTTCTGTACACACATATTCCTGATTTTCTTGGGACCCAATAAAAAATTATCAGATATGTTGGCGCTTTGTCGTGTATTTTTAATAGTCAAATAGTAAATAAAAATGGTTAGAAACATTGTTACCATAGCACCAAAACTAACGCTTTTTTTAAAAAAAGAAAAGCGTAAGGTACCCTTGATATACCGATTATAGCTTTAGGCATATGAAAACAGTTTCTGGGTACCCACCAATGCTGTTGTGCTGTATATCCAATTTCTTGGTAGCCATATCAACACATCTTATAAAATTTTAGGTGCAAATAATTCGTTTATAAGGTGATCAAAACTTTTGTCCTCTCTCCCTCAAGTATTAAATTTGGCATATAGAGATATACATTTTAACATTACGCTTCAAAGTGACTGTAGCCAATGTATCTCAGAAATTTCAGAAAATAAAGCTTGATAATATTCTTTAATGCAGCTCTAAATGAAAACTTTTGGGCCATACTTGGCTTGTTTAACCACGTGTAAAAGCATGTATGTGTTTGAATCGCTGAAGACCATGTGCAAAACTAAACGAAGCTGTACATTTATTCTAATCCTCGAAATAAACGCCAATGTTATATAAATTGATTATCTGGTAGTGTGCATTTATTATGCGTATTCTCTTTATTACAACTGCCTTTATATTATGGTCAAAAGAAATAAAAAACAATTCATTTTCATATTATTATTCCTTTGTGTACAACAATGTTACGCACCACCGTTACAGCAAGGAAGAACTCCAACATACCAAGAAACAAGAATATTTTCAATTATAAAAACCGTTGTTCTGGCATATCTACTACACACACTGACCATCAGACCTAGTTCTAGTGCAAAAAAACCCCTAACAGCCATAACACGAATACTTTTTCTTGCATACCCAACGCTAGGAATTGGGATGGCCTCTGAATCCATCAGCTCAGCATACCATGCAGACGCATACCTTGGGATAGATACTTTTAAAAAATCCCTGGAGGAATACGAAAGGTTAAAAGCCATAAATAAATCGAGTCTCTATGAAGAAAGCCTTGCGTCATCATCGATAGAGAAGGATGACACGTCAGAGACCAAACTATTAATATCAGATTATGACAATCTACGGCAAAGAATAAGACATTTAAGAGACTGGCTTGTGGAGTACACCAAAACGAACCAGCAACTCGAAATAAAAGAATACGATAATGCTCCATACCTCGCCGCACTCCTTCACACCATGGGTCCCGATAAAGGCAGGAAGATAAAGCATTGTATTGTTAATACCAGCTTGTACATTGGATTTGATCTATTATTCGACACAGCCTTGGTAGAAATCAATTCAAACGAATCTGAAAATATGAAAATCGCTGGTTCAGGAGCAATGTGCAGATATCAAAAGATTGTTTTTCCAAAGGTCGTTCGTTATTTATCCACCGACATGCTTGATGAACTTATGGCAACTTACCGTTTAGACGAGACTTCCTATACAGAAAGATGTGTTACTGTAATGCAGATCATGTATATTATTTACGAGTGCATAGGTGGTCGAGGAGACAGATGGTCAAAGCTTATCATGATAATATACACAATCATGTCCATACTTCAAACAGGCTCCCTAATTGCATTGCATACCCAAAAAACGGCTTTTAGTATCCATTACAAGTCGGATATCACTTACACAAAGTTAAATAACACAAGTGGCTTCAACGAATCTAGCTCTAATGGAACAATAAAATCAACAAAGCGCGAATCTAAAAGTCATCCAGAAAGCAAGGTCCGTGATCATCGAAATATTCTCTACCAAGGAAGTTTTCTTCACCAATTTGTTCGAGAAATGATTCCGTACGGAAATAAAGAAGCTATAGAGTCTGCAAATGATATGGACCCTACAGTCCTAGCATCTATTATTGGAGGAACTGGTCTTTCTCTACTTCTTGGGATATGGGCTGATTACACGATTCATACCAGTACAGAATGGATTGTATTATCTTGGATACTGAGCTCATTTCTTTTCGGAATAATCACATATTTCTCTATGAATGGTAATATAACGAGCATAATACCACTATTTCTCCCTATCATTGCAGTCCCGGGTGGATTAACGTGCGTTTTAGCGGCTACAATTGAAGGATATCCAAAAGAGCATCCTATATAAATTATCAGAAGAAGAAGAAAACAAAATAATGTATTATGAGAGCTTACTTTCCTATAAGAATAATTAATAAAATTGGTCCTATTTATTTCCGATTCAATAAATATAAGTATTTTCCTTACTGAATCATAAACTAATTAATCTTGTTAATCTTTTAGAAATTTCATAAACATAAGTTGATCCTTTCAAATAGTTTAATGCTAGTATAAGTCAACTTCCCCAGTATAATAAGTAAAGCAAATACTTTTTCTTTTGTAATTTTCAATGGTTCAATAATGGTTTAGTACTAGTGCAAATCTACACGACGTCACTCATATCATCCCTAGAAAAAAGCGCATTTCGTGTTTGCAGACTTATATTCATATTTATACCTTGTTTGTGATTTAAAGTAAAGTTTATTTTACTGAAGCTCTTGGATTGTTCTTTCTTTTGTGTAACTAACATTTCAGCTTTTTCTTTTGTATCTCCAAGTTGAATTTTACGTACAATTGTTCGGGGTACACAATATTGATCACAAATGGCTTATAGATCTTGTTCAGCATTAGAGAACATTGAGCATGATCCTTAGTTAATCTGGAGCATTTTTCAGCTTTTTGGTGACATTAACGATGTTTATTAAATGCAAAGTCAAAAGCGATCTATGAATAGTTGTAAATGAGGAAATAAGTCAAGGGCTTTATATATATTGAAAAATAAAATCATGGGATTTAAACACGGTGGTATCACCTAATCTACTGATGAGTTTGCCTGTGGGCTTGAATATTTTTAATGGTACCGTCGCCGCCTTTTTAAACTTCGTTTCTGTTAGAAACGCCCAAAACCCTACAAAGCTTTAGTGAAACAAAAGAAAAGAAACAAGAAACTAGACGAAAAAAAATATTAGTTTGAGAACTAATATAAAAGACGATGGCCAAATGTTGATTTAGAGAATTAAGATTATATTACTATAGCTTTTTTCTTTAGTTGAACCTTTCACATATATTAAGCTGTGTCCCAAGCAACTATTCTGGGCGTGATAATGGATCAGATCGTATATTGCGGTATAAAGCTAAAAGGCTATTGTGCAAAAGATGGTGATTTGAAGTACAAGCCGCATGAAAAAGCTTGTGCATCCAAGCTGTTCATAAATTTTGAGCAACCCTTCATATGATGAGTACTCAATCGATGGAATCCAATGTCTAATACATTCTTTGCAAGTGTTGCTAATAAGCAGCGCTCATCGCATATAAGTTGCTCGACAGCTAAATTTCTGGCACTATTGTTTATAAACTTATATCAGAAACTACTCCATGTACATTTACGGTGTGAATACGTCTGAAATAAAGAAACATCAGTGACTCAGAAATGTAAAAATATACAATCTGTTGTACTCAATGCTCCACAAAGCTACAACAGCAGCAATAGTATATGTACAGACTTTTTGTGTTCACTACAAGCTATTTTTTAGTCGGTTTTACAAATATCCGCACATGTATTAAATACTTGACCTAAAATAATACTTTTGTTTTCTTTTGGCTCACCTCTTTTCACTTTAACAATATGTCTTTTCGTGAATTTATTTTCCTTTGTGCTCTCTTATACATAATTGTACCAGAATGTTTTGCTGCACCAATAGAAATCCAAGAAGCAATAGAAGGCCAATCATCGAATCAAATCAACAAAACGAAGACATACACGATTCTAAAGACCATCGTACTGGGATATTTTACACACATTATGACTATTCGACCAAGTCCGGACACTGATCAGAAGAATACTCTATTTTGGCGTATAGCTTTTTTTGTATACCCCACTATGGGTATCGGAACTGCAACCACAGCTATACTATCAGCATGCGAATCTGACAAAATCCTTGGAATCGACATTTTTCAAGATTTCTTTGCTAAAAGGAAAGAAGATGCTTTGAAGAAGCGAGGAAAAGGAGGAATGTCGTGGATTGCGGTTTTTCTAAGCGATATTTGGGATTCCATAAAATGTGTCTTTCTTCAGTTGCTAGGCGCACTCTCCATAAGAACTTACACCCCCAATGAAAAAGAACCTGATAAAGATCCCGCCGAATTTCAAAAAGAGGTCGATAACCTGACAGAAGAAATCATAGAATTTGAACAAGCCAATGGCAGAACCCTCCCTAGAGAGCCTGACAATGTTGCTTGTTTGGCCGCGGTGCTCTTGGTATTAAAGCCGAGACAAGCTAGAAGAGTCAAGCACTGTATTCTTAATAGTAGTTTATACCTTGGGTTTGATTTGAAAGACGAGGAAATCGAAACTGACAAAGACAAGCTAATATGTACTGAGGATATGACAATCACTGGGTCGGGATCGATTCATAAATACCAAGCAGGTGTTAAGCCACACTCTGCTCGTTACCTGACTCCTACTATGTTGAAGCAGCTTCAATCAGCGCATTATTTGGACAACACTTCGTATATGGGAATGTGTATCACGTTTGGTCAGCTGGCTTATACAATTATCGAATGCGTTGATGCTGATGGCGATAAATGGGCCAAGGTTATTATGATAATATACATGATCATGTCTGTTCTCCAAACAACCTCCCTATGGATTTTACATAAGCAAATCGCAGCATTTAGTATCTACTATGATAAGCCTATCAACTATGAAGGGTCGGAAAACTACGACAAGCCAATCAACTATAGAGGGTCGGAAGACTATGATAAGCAAAAGGATGAAGACGACATTATAATTAATCCCATGGGCGATAGCTCGAGTCTATTTGAACAAATAATGCCAAGACTGAACGATATCTTATACGAAAACAGCTTTCTTGATAAAATTGTTAAGCAAGAAGCACTCTATCCCGATAATGGCTACAAAACATTTACTGAGCACAAGTACTGGGCTTATATGCTTTCTGGCTTTGGAGGATTAACGGTTTCACTACTGGTTGGTATCTGGGCAGACTACAAAGCTCACAGTACAACACAATGGATCGTATTGGCCTGGATTCTTAGCCCGCTTTTATTGATTATACTGACTATTTTACAGAAAGTTACTATCACGGAGAAAGGCATTTTGTATAGCTTATCCGTTTACTTCATTTATTTAATCGGAATCGCTGGTGCAGCATGTGTACTTGCTGCAACCGTTGAAGGATATAGCATAAAAACAGAGTAGTTACTAGTTAATCATTTTGTATATTATAATAAAATAGAAAGTATTCTCTATAGTAATCTCATCCATATTTATTGGATAGGTTTAAAATATATTATCAATAAAGTTGTCAAGCTTTAATTAATAGGTCTATGTCTACCCCAGCCTTGTATTCTACACAGTTTACAGCTATACTTTTATATCAATACTAGACGGCATTTAAACTTTTGCACGGGTAACAACAGTTCAAGAGATTGTTAACTTGACACGTTCATTAGCAAGTAGGAACCAGTGTTTGGTTGTGGAGTCTGATCTTCAATCAATTGTGGTGGGTATCCCATAGGCTACTTTGGCAAAAAAAAAACACTCAAAATATTTATTAAATATTAATTTATTACCGCTGATAATTATAAATAAAAACAAAGTAGTAAATACCATATCATTTTTTTTTACTTTTATTAAATTATTAACTAGCTCTCTACATTATATATAAAGCAAAAATAAATAAATTGATACAGGTATTTTTTTATTTTTTATTTATTTAAAAAAACACACACATATCAAAGTGCAATATTGTATGTGAAATCCAATTATTTAATTTTCACTTGCCGACCTTTTTTTGCTACTTTATTTGTAGCACATAAAAAATAGACAGTTTAGTAAGTTTTTTTCTAAAGTAAGCTTCTAATTCCGAAGTGATAAAATATTGTTTTTTTGATTATACGACATTAGGAGAAGCAAAATATTAAAACACCACCGCATTTTTTTTGGTGGACAAAAACTGTTAGCCTCACAAAAATGCTACGCTCCCAGGCGTTTTTAAATTACTAAAAACAGCTTAGACCTGTTGAGTTCCAAAAATGCCCTACAATCTACCAAAAAGACTGGGCATTTGAAATTTAAATCAATTATTTTATTTTACTTCACTTTACTTTTTTGCTTTTTTACAAGTTTTCAATTAGTCTTTAATTTTTTGTTATTATTTGATGACAAGTAATTGACCCTCTTATTCCAATTATATTTTATTTAAGTATTATACTGCATTGCAATTAAGGTATTTATGATTGATTTTGGATTAATATCTCCATATTAGAAAAAAAATGTGAGAGTGTTATTTATTAAAGAAAGTTAAAATAATATTCGAAGTATTCAGAACTGGCTTTAGTATAGTATTTTAATATTAGAAAAAGTAGATACTGTGAGAGTGTTATTTATTAAAGAGATAGAATAATATGTTTATATATATCAATCGATAAAGACGTTCTTTTTCTTACTATTCAATTTGCCTCTCTTAATATTTGTACCTCCGCTGTGCCACGTCTGGGACACAAAATCTACCTACACACACAAAATCTACCCACACACACATAAATCCACCCACACACACAAAATCTACCCACACACATAAATTCATTCGGAGACACACACAAATCCTTTTTGTGATGAATTCATAGACCTATATAAATAATAAATAATTAGCATACTTTTTGGAAGTAGAGCTCCCCCTCCCTTCAAGCTTTATATAACTCTTCGCTATAAAATTTTTAGTTACTACATATTACAATTAATGTGTAGAAATGAGTTAAGCAGTTTATTGAATGGATAGTAGACTTTAATTGATGGGATTGTAAAATAGTTAGAAGATTTGCAGAGAATTTAAAGGCAGAGTCTAAGTTACATGCTTATATTCCAACTTTTTAAAGATATAGATTGGGTACTATACATGTATTGGAACCTGAACTATCCTAAAGCCTGATGTTTATATTAGAGAATATGATATATTCAAAAGGTTCAGTGCTTTGCCATAATTATAAATGTATCAAAACTTTGTAAAAGTACATTTTTGTACAAAAATTGAATAGCTTTATGATGTTCAAGGTTGACCCCAAGCTTTCATGATAAAACTTTGTTATATTTAAACATTTTTTATGTTGATCAATGCTTATAATACGAGAAAAGGATTATAAAGGCATTTAAACTAACGAACAAGAAGTGTATAAAGCAGAAAAAAAGGCGCAAGAAAACGAAAGCAAAATTTCGCGTTTAAGTATTCAAAAATAATGACATATATTTCTTAAGCCTAAATAGTTTATAAAATATGCAATTCAAGTGCAATAGCCCAAAAATATAGGTGCCTTGGTAGTGTTTTAGTTTTAATATTTTTATGCAAGTACATACTGTGTTTATCTCACAAATTGTGCAGACCCGATTTATTACCCTCAATACAGTGTTTTGATTAAGCTCTAAAACCTCAACCAGGTCTTCAGAGAACCAACAATAAATCTATTTTATAAAATTTAATTACCAAAATAAGATATTTACTTTTCAAAACTGGATCTGTTCAAAGGTTTTCTTTAAAATAAGAGTAATAAGATTACTATTTGGATCATTGATATATATCCTATTATTTCTATACGTATTTGGTATTTGACAATCCTTCCCACCAGCTAATATTTATCTTTATGATTGTTATTGTTTTATATTTGTTTTGATAACTTGGGTCTACTTCAATTTTATTCCTGCTAATATTGTCAAAAAAACTTTAATATTATGCGAACCCCCTAAAAAACACTCGATTACTATTATATTTACATTCCTGGGGGTGCATTATTGTGGACCTTTGAATATGCGACCCTTTTCTTTAGCTCCTTTTGTATAATTTATGCAGCACCTGTTCCCCACTTGTACACAATAGAAGGACAATCCTTGTATTTCAATACTGTTTCAACCACCTGGGACTCTTCCAACATAAGCTTTGTCATTCGGTATTCCTTCGGGCATTTTGCAACAATATCAGTAGGACAAACCAGCTCAAAACTCTGGAGGTTTTCAAATGCCTAACACATAATTTAATTTAATTATTGACAAACCTTTTATTCATTCTTTGTTTGTTTTCATTATTATTATTTTAAGAGGTATATTATATCTTCTTGTATATATTGTAATATGTCTTACCTTGAGAGCAACCGGTTTTTTGTAAAGCTTCATACCAAATCCTAATCCACGTACTTGAGTCCGACTCATGAACTCTTTATATTCATCATAAACCATTTGAAAATTGAATGCATCAATATCTTTCTCCATCAATTTCTTCATACTGATAATTAATACAAGTTCCAATAAGGATACACCTATTCCATAACAATAAAAGTGGGCGTCAATAATTGTATCATATCTACTTATTTATTCTTTTCAGATTTACCTTTAAGCATTTCTGATTTGGAATCTGCCCGCTGCGCCAAATTGGCTTGATGAAACGATATTGTTGTCAAGAAAGGCTGATCACGGCTCAATAAAGAAACTGGCTCAAACTAGATGTAAGGTTAGAGAAAAGAAAGCACATAAAATAATCCATAGAAAGTCTCTTACACAAATTTTATAAAACATTCTAAGATCTTTAGAAAGATCAAATATACGACGCAGCAAACTTGTGATAGTAGATTCCTCGAATAATGTCTTGATAGTCAATAATAATAATAATAATAATAATAATTAAAGTTGGAATGGCGTTCATTGCATGCATAACCCTTTTGTCTTCTACTTACTTCAACAGATTTGTTAAATCGTGCTCTATAACTGTTTTCTGCATGTCCTTCTGTAAAGACCCTTAAATTATCCTTGGCTGCATCTACGAATTGCCCAAATGTTGCTGGTGGAAACAAGTAAATTTGTCTGTGGGAGAATCTCGATTTGACACGTTTTTCAAGCAGTTCTAATGCGTCCTACAATTCCATATGAGATACTTTGTACAAATACTAATGCTCGTAATTAACAGCTTTTTTTTTTAAGAAAAAAAAAGAAAACTCACTAGTCGACAACTGAGACCAATCACAGCTAATGGACTTTGTGCACTTTGAACAGTATCCAGCAGATTGTATAGTAAAGTCTGTTTGGGATGAAGCGCAAACAAATCGAATTCATCGAGAATAAAGATAACTGGCAAAGTCTTTTTGTTGCCTGCCTTAAGCAGAGACAAGATATACTCAAAGGATTCTGAAAATGAAGACTATCAAGAGATTAGATTAGAGCAGGTCTAGAGAGAATAAGCTCTATCTTACAAATGATCGATCGGGTGCAGATCCTTCTTGGTTTCTTTGCTGAGTAGCTAATTGACGTGCGATTTCATTAAGGGCAAGGCGATCAGTGGTGGCGGTCATTCCATTTAGACGAACGACACAGAAATTTGGATCGTCTTGAAGTTTAGCCAGGTCATCCAATACGGATCGCACTAGCATTGATTTTCCAGTTCCTCTGTTTCCGATCAGCAAACATGAATTGCTTTCACCTGTAGTAGTGGTCTGATGTAAAAGTTGATACAGCTGATCGTACTGTTGTTGAAGACCATGAAGGCGTCCAGGGGTGATTTCTGATAGACGCGATAAGAGCTCGTGACGTACGCTGGCAGTTTCTGCATCGATAGGGATTAATGGAATATCAAAACGAACTTTCTTTGAACAAGAAGCATTATTGTCACTCGATCGTTTGGTGGTCATGGTGTATACAAGGAACGCAGTCCCCTTGACTTGACGCCGCCGAGGTCCCCAAAGGAAGCAGTGGCAGACGGGGCATAAAAGACGTGGCACAAAAGTCATGTGATGGCACTTTGTTTCTTGACTCCTCTGGCATGTGAAAACCGGTGGATTTGGCATACAAAAAACCTTTATTATCTGCTAGTCTTTCTCCCTTTGTATCTCTTCCTCCTCTTCACATCTATTTTTTCTATTGCTACCTACTCTATAAAAGCCTTTTTGTTCTCTCGTTATTGGAAATCCTCTTTGAAGAATGTTAGATCACTTGGTAGGAAAGCCTTCTGAGAACTGGAAGAGGATTCAGACACTTTTGATGCTTATTGGGGGGTAAATGAAGTCCGAGAATGAATAATGACCAAAGTTATTAATGCCATATTCAATAATAGAACATGGATCCTCATGAATGGGAAGAGCTACAGGTTCCCAGTCATTCTTCAGAAACTCAATAAAATGACAAGTAAGTTGTGGTAAGAATAATTGGAGTGGGTAGCGATGTCTCATATTATGAACCTAAGAGAGATCCTCTCCGTGGAAGATTGTGGTTGGATCGTGGATGTCGTATTATCTGGTTCAGAACCTGCTAAATCTGGTTGGATTGAATGGTAAGTGACTTAAGGTACCTGATGAATGCGTGCTAATACCTCGGGTATATCTTTATCTATCTTATAGCACCTGAGCCACTAGCACGTTTGGTAAGACAAACCTGACCCCATGAATTTGGAGATCATTTTTTTACTAACTTTTGGTTTTCCCCGCCTGTGTAGTATAAACGTAGTTTCTATCGTGCAACATGGATCCTGACAGCTTTGGACGCTGGATTCTTCACTGCCATGACTTTGAAGCCGATGTGGTTGCGCCACATCTGCTCTATTTTGTTTACTTTCTATTATTTGGTGTTTGCGGATGCTGCTGAAGAGAGAGTCCGACGAGTGAGAGCTACTATATCTATTGAACATATGCGAGTATCATGGGAGAAGGTCCCACAAAATCCCATCCTTAGAACCATGAGCAAGCTGATTAGACCTAAGGTCACCGTCCGGGAAATCATGTCTATTGATCGACCAGCTCATAATAGCCAGCTTCCACCTACAGAAATATACTTTTTCTATGCAGGAGCGCCCGAAACCCTTTCTCAGCACGATACCATATTGCTACAGTTCCCAGGCGGCGGTTTCGTATCTATGCCTCCTCCTTGTCATGAAGATGCTATTGCAGTGTGGGCCAATCAAACCGGCCTTCCTATAGTCAGTGTTAACTACAAGAAAGCTCCTGAGCACCCCTATCCATGGCCTATTGAGGAGTGCTTCGATATTTATTTGCGTCTAGTAGAGACACGAGGCACAATAATTGGACTTTCAGGAACAAAGAAGCTTAATATCATTGTTCTCGGTGACTCGGCTGGCGGAAACATTTCTTCTGCGACTACCTTGAAAATCATTGCCCACAATCAGCAATTAAAACGCCAGCAAAACAACGGAGTTCCTCTCAAAACTTTTGGTGCAGATGAAGGTGCTACGGACTATACCGAGTCACTTCTGCCCATGCCAGCTGGATTAATTCTAATCTATCCTGCTCTCGACTTTGAGATGTCTTGTTGGATGTCTCCCTCGCAAGTATCGCTTATTCATGCCGATTCTACCACCCAGCTGTTCCGTACAGGATCTCTGGAGACATTGTGGCAGTCCAAAGATCATTTCAGTCACGTTAGTCCTCTCAGTGTAGTACCAGATGTTGAGAAGAATCAGAGTTTGTGGAGAAGATTACTCGGAAGAAAAAAGACCCGTACTACTATTCGTCAACATGTGAATCCCATTCTTACAGACAAGAAAGCCTGGCAATCATCAAATCTTGCCATGACCAGCCGTATGAGTTTCTTTAACGACCGCATCATCTCCCCTGACGTTGTAAGTAATATTATTTCGATACATATGGTTTATCGGTTATTAAAAGTTCATGCGCATTTTATGTACGTAGATGAGAGCAATGGCTATCAGTAAGTCATTAAACATGTAATGCTAAAAATATGTGTGCTGACACAATGGACTATGTATAGTGTATCTGGGCCCGTATGCTACTCCTGACTTTGAGACAGATTACTTATTATCACCCATCATTGCCCCGTTGGAATTACTGGCAGAATTCCCCAAGACGTATATGATATGTGGTGAAAAAGACCCTTTAGTGGATGATACTGTTATTCTTGCGGGTCGTATCCGTCAGGCCAAGGGAGAATTTCTCGGTCCAGAAAAGGCCGACAATGCAGTACATGTCAAATTTTTGGAAGGAATCAGCCATGCGTTCTTGCAAATGATGGCATTCTTACCAGAAGCTCACCAGGCTTCTCGTACAATTGGTGACTGGATTCAAGAGATCGCTTCGGAAGTGGCACATGCAGATCCTAATGTCGACTTTAACATTGCCACCCGGTCTATGAGCAGTAGAGTAGAAGTGGGGGCACATCATGTGGCCGAGATTGTAACGAATGAGAAGGACATGTTGACTCGTCGTAAGAAGCAATTGGTGGATGGCCTGTTTTAGATTGTCGCATATTTGTTGGACTGGATTATATTATACTATTCTATATTGTACTGTACTGTGCTGTGCTGTGCTGTGCTGTATTTTGATATACATATATACATATATACATATATTTGTCTTTAGTTCATTAGCTCACTTGGCTTGGCTGGCTAGCTAGGGTTGTAGGATGATGAAATAAATAAAAAATATATATAAAAATAAATAATAAAAAATAAAAAAAAATTAAATAATAAAATGGTAATTGAATATAAATAAAAAAAATAGCTTTTTATTCTACTTGTTCTACTTGTTCTCTCTCTTTCTTTTTCTCTTTCTCTCTCTTTCTCTCTCTTTCTCTCTCTTTCTTTCTACTCATTTAACATTCTTGTTGGTTTGTCGGTGGTCATTGCCATAGTGTAATGTCCTTGCCATTTATTGACAACCTACCCGAAAAAGACTCTCTTGTCAAATTTGTGCTGCACAATAATGTTTATATCGACGAGACCTTTGTAGGCTCAAGCGTGTGCAGTACAGAAGATAAAGTTCTTTACCATCACCCCACTATGCCCTACAGTCAAAGTCATGACTTAGATCCTACCAAGATATCACTTCTAGGCAGTCTACTTCAAGGCACGACCAACGACCCATTGTGGACTCTAGTCAACAAAGATTGGCATGACTTTGTCTACCAGTCATCGGATCCCTTCCGATCATCCGTTTCCTTGTCAATAACATCGGATGGTCTATCCTTTGAGTGGTTGGACCACTCATACAAATGGCTCTACGCCACCACCAAAGACGCCCAAGATGTTTTGACATGTTATTCCGACCACGAAACCATCGCAACCCTAAAATACATTGACGATATAACAGAACTCACACTCTGGCCACTAGAAAAAGATACATGCCCTCTCTCCCCTCTCTCTTCCCCCGGTCATGTTCCGTCTATGGACATTACTGCTCTCGATCCTAACCATTCACCCGTCCCTTCTTTCCGCTCCCTACCAGCACATCTACCCGAACCCCTCTCACGTCTCACCTCTCTCCTCGTCTTAACTGCCTTGGTAATACTCGAACACAATACTCTCCCGCCAATGTGTCTATGTTCTCCCGATGACATGGCTAGTATATCATCCAGTCCGAACTCCTCTGCACTGACGTCGTTGTATGGACCCAATCGAGGTTTAGTTGTAAGAGCCGACACCCTTAAAAGTATCGAAATTCATCCCGACAGACATCGCGCCTGGATATCATGGTTTCCATGTTGTTTACCGGGTGGCTGGCTAGACTTCCTGTGGGTCAAGTGGTGCGGTCCTCGCAAGAAAGAACGCAAAGGAGGATGGCGCCAACAGTCTTGAATTTTGACTTTTTGGACCTGTATAAATTTTATTCTTTTATTATATTCCATTTCTTACATTAACTTTTGCCTTCTTTTATCTGCATTGCATTTATATCATCATGCCTTAGAATGCTCCTTGACTCAATTCTAGTATTTTCCATTCCTATCCCCTCTCTCCCCTCTTTGTATCTACAGTTTCCTCATTAAAGATGTACATAACGTGTGATCCTAGAAGCCAAGAAAACTCCACGAAATTTTCATAACAACAACAGTAAAGTAAAACATACATACACACACACAAAACACAAGAGAAACAGACATTTAGAAAAAAAAAATTGGAGAGAATGAAGCAGGCAGGATGTTAATCATCTCCGCTTTCTACCCCCCTCTTTCTTTAAACTCGATGTCCGACCTCACATTTCTCCCTTGATTGAACCTTTTTTTTTTCCTTATTTAATATTATCTTTTCTGGCCAGTATGGAAGATGCGCGAGAAGTTGCATTAGCAAAACTATCAGAATTACTCAAACATCCCGATGACCTTAATACAAAGGTCGGACCTCTTTCTCGTCGTCTTGCCAAAGAAAAGGCTTCCATCGATGCTCAATTGAGTACGGGTGTCCAAACCCAGCTCGACAATGTCCAAGAAGGGCTCGAGACACTTGCTCTCTCGAGTCAGAACAATGACAAAGTCAAATCTAACATGCGACGAATCGACAAACTTTGTCGAGATGCACAATCAATGATCCATGACTTTCCTCGAATCAACAAGGTAAAGTCCATTACATCCATCTTTGAAAAAAAAAAGATATGAAAAAAAGTTACCTCTACAAATGCATAGATTCTCATCTAGCACTAGGTGTCCCAAGTTCATCAAAATTTTGTAGCGACTCAAGAGAAAGTAAAAGCATTTCGGGCATTATACCAACGTCTACAAGGAATTGAGCAGATGTTTACACCATTACAACAAGACGTATTTAGACCGCAAGACAACCTACTTCATGTGCATTACGAATTATTCAAACTTGAGGAGTTTAGAGACCAAACAATGCATCAGGCACGAGGCTCTCCTCAAGATGTCCTCATCACGCTCAAGACATACTTTAGACGTGTAGATGTCCTGTCAGATGATTTCACACAGCATCTTTGGCAGATTGCGCGTCACCTTCTTGAGTTAGTAGACATGGGCTTGGGTGCTTCAGTAGTCAAGTTAGTCAAAATTATCGAGTGTGAAGAACATGCAGACGAAAAGGCATTGGCAGCACAACAGGCTCAAACAAGTCATCAGGATATGCAGGGACACAAAAAGTGGCGACTAGCCGAAGGCAATCCACGCACCATCAAATCCTACCGTGTCGAATTCTTTGAACAGATTCACCAATCTATTGTCGAGCGTTTTGAAGACGAATTAGCTCCATATCGTGAAAACGGAGATTGGTCAGGTGCTTTGGACATTACAGACTTTATCTTCAATGACCTTGAGTTGGTCTTTGATCATGTCGTGCCAAAGTTTCCCAAGAAGTATAAGATCTTTCCTCACTTTGTATTGGAGTATCATCGTCATACGTACGAGTTGCTGAATGGTATGGTTGACCAAGATTTGGATGCTGGAACTATCTTGAGATTATTACGATTTGTGAGGGATTACTATGCTACTATGAGTACACGTCTGGGAGTTACTGAAGAACTATTGGAGCCCCAGCTTCTGGATGGCCAGGAACAAACACTTGTGGACGAATATCTTAAACTGGTCCGCAACAAACTTGCCGAATGGACTTCCAACCTCATGTCCTCTGAGTCGCGCGACTTTGTGGTCCGTGAACATCCACCAGAGACTACCCCCGATGGTCAATATGGAATGGCAGGTGCAGTCGACATGTTCCAAATTATAAACCAGCAGATAGATGTGGCTGCAGATGCCAACCAGGGAAAATTGCTGTATTTGGTTGTGTATGAATGTCACAAGGTCATGAAAGACTCTCAAAGTTTTTGGAAAAAACTACTACTATCGGAAATGCGCCGGCAGTTGGAACAACCCGAGGAAGCACCAGAAGGCTTTGTTGAGTACGTTATGGCCCTTGCGAATGACCAGATCAAGTGCTCTGATTTTGCTGAAGCAATATTGAAGCGAATTACTCCATTGGTTGAGGCTAAGTATAAGACACAGGTGGAAGACAAGCTATCAACCTGTGTGGATGGCTATCTACAAATAGGTGCCGCTTCCCGTGAAGCTTTGTTGGAGGTTACTTTTAACGATATTAAGCCTGTATTTGATGATCTATTCACCGCTCGCTGGTACGAACAACCTCTTGTTCCATCTGTTATCGAGACCCTTAAAGATTACTGCAACGACTTTACACATCTCAACAAGTTTCTGTTTGACAAGTTAGTCAATGATATGCTCGACCGATTTTTGATGCTTTATCTCGAAGCTATGCGACACAAGAACGCACGATTCCGTATGACCACATGCCTCGACAAAATCCAAGACGATGTTCGCATGTCTTTTAACTTCTTTTCGACATACAAATCTGTGGAAGAGCTCGAAGAGCGATTTGATGTGATTGAAAGGGTTCACACTTTACTGGAAAGTAACAGACGAATGATATTTGTGGATTACTATTCTCTCCGACAAGCATACCCCGATGTTCCATTAGCATTTGTAGAAGATGTATTGAGCAAGCGAGACGATCTTGACAAAGCTGCTCTCAAAGATATTATGGAAGGAATCAAGGCAAAAGCAAGAGAGTACGAACCTGAAGCTAACACCCCACCCACTATATTCAGTCGTATTAAGTGGTAGTGCACTTTCATTGTTTTGCTTTGCTTCTTAATTTTATCTTTACCCATTCAATGCTTATTTACCCGCAACATATTTACTTTATCGCTTTACATTACTTCTTTTTTTAAAAAATTTCTTTTAAAAAAGAAAGGTTCCACTACTACATACATGAACGCCACTTTATTTATTTTTTCAATGTCATAATACAACGCATTTTGTTTATATTATACACTTTTTAAGTTGCTTACAAAAGCAAAAAGCAAAAGCTTTGAGAATACCCGGCATTTGTATATAAATTCAAGCCTACACGGAATACATATACTTTGGTAAATTTAGTTCTAAAAATGCAGGCCTAACAATTACATTTCCGAGAAGCTTTAATAAATGTTGGTTATTTTACTATCTGCTTTATGGAATCCCATGTACATTTTTTTTAAAAAAAATTCCTTTGAGTTTTAACTATTTTCCCTTTCAATCGAATAGTAGTATATAACGATGATCAGAAAAACTCGGGAAAATTATGCTTACTACGAAGCTGACAATCTTGGAAATATTTAGCTCGCGTTCTCTTTTTATATTTTAAATAGAAGAAAAATGTGTAATAAAATGATTTTAGAAAAAAAAAATACTTGTAAAGAAGACTATATTAGATAGTGAGATCTTAAAATATCTCTATCAATTGTAACTGAAATTTGGCCCTCCATTTTTGTTTTGACTCTTTTAAAATTTCAAAAGCTTAGCTTTAGTTATTAAAAAGAAAAATGAGAAATATAACTGCCGGAGATGCTCTAAGGATCATAAAGTAATGACTATTACAATGTAATTTCAAATTGTATAATACAAGTAATAGTTATGGCTCGGTAAATACTAACATTGCAAAAACTTGTGTAAAAACCGTTTATTATAATACTTAGAAACATGATATATACAAAAACAGTTATATGTAAAGAAGTAATAATAAATTACAATCTCTTAATGATGCTTTTAGATATTGGACTTCATTTTCTCTTATGAAAATACAATAAGTAAAAATAAAAGTAAAAATAAATATACAAAATTCAGTTTAAGATTGCAATAAATTATTTATATAGAACATAACCATTAACAGCTGCAGTAAATACACATCCTGCACCAATAAATCCAATGGTATAAATGAGGCACGATAATATAATAGATCGTTTTGTTTTTCGATAAGATGGAATAGTACTTTTTAGGCCGGTCAAGAACATCCACAGTACTTGATTCAAGATCCATGTCAACACAAGCCATTGGGTCACACTGTGTGCGCTATAATCCGCCCAGATACCAACGAGCAACGACAGGGTCAGTCCTCCACACCCAGAAATAATGTATGAGTATGTATGGTACTCTATATATGTCTTGTATTCATTGTTGTCGATAATCTTTTCTTTTTGGATTATTTTCTCTAAGAAGCTGCCTTCGTAAAGAATACTTGGGGGTTTACTGTTTTCCTGTGGTGGTCCATTGTTTTTCGGTGGAGTATCCTCTTCACGATTAGAACTAGTATCTTCATGACTAGACATATAATAACTATTTGGCATTCTATTTCTTATGTTTCCAATTCTAGTTTGGATGCCTATAATGTCTTCTTTGTCATATAAATCCGGGTTTAAAATGTCACTTTCTGAGGGGAGATCTCCAATTTCATAGATTACAATGTTGATATCCTTGTCGTATGGAATACTAAATGCTGCTAGCTGCTTATGCAAAACGCAGAGAGAAATCGTCTGGAGAACTGACATAATCATGAATATAATCATAATAACTTTGGCCCATCAATCACCTTGGGCATCAATACACTATTACTGTGTAAACAAGCTGGCCGATGGTGATGCATATCTCTGTGTATGAAGTATTGTCTAGGTAACGCGCTACGGGTATTTGGTTGATCATCTCTTCAGTCAAATAGCAAAAATAAAAAGGGCTTATGTCAGTTTGATATGTGCATCCGGCTCCTTTCCCAGTAACCACCATGTCTTCAGAAAGGATTAGTTGGCGATACTGGTTAATTTGTTTAGGAGTCGCTTCTAGTCCGAGGTAGATGTTGCTGTTCAGAATGCAATGCTTTACGCGTCTTGCTTGCCTAGGCTTCATTAAGTGTAGAATTGCTGCAAGATAAAATAAGTTATCTCCCGGCTTATGAGTATAATTATAGTCTTTTTCGGCTTCTATATTAATCTTGTCTCTAAAGCTTGCCACTTGTTGTATAAAAGCAATATGGCATAATCTCTCTCTTTCCTCATCTTCGAACTCCTCGATTGTTTGTTGCTCAAATAATCCTCTTACAGAATTCCAGAAATCGCTCATCCAAGCTTTTATCCAGTGGTCTTTTCTTTTTATCGATTTTTTTAATGTATTTGTTGGCCTTGTCGATGCCAAGAATCGTATCCCCGTAAAATCCAAAAACTATAGCCTTTAAAGCAGAACCAAGCCCTATTGTTGGATATATAAAATATGGTACACGCCAAAAGGTACTATATTCGCCTTCACATCGAGGGACTGGGCGAATAGTCATAAGATGTGTCAAGTATCCAAGTAGAATTAAGATATCATAAGCAGCTGAATTACTGATTTGTTCTGGATTATTGGTTGCCACTGGTGGAGCGTAACATTCTGGTACAGCAATAGCTAGAAGGATGCAAATAAGAATATATTTGCTGGTTGGCATAATGTTTCAGTAAAAATAGGCAGATCAAGTATAAAGAGAAATAATGCTTCGATTGACATATTTATTTGACATTTGAATATCTATATCAGCTGATCAAAAAAAAAGGTTGAATAAATTGATTTCATGCTTGTGTGGAAATTTAAGGTTCCAAGCCTTTTTTTCTTATGGATTGAAATGTTTTTCTACAGCTTTTCAAATTGTCGGGTATTGCACTAAATAAGCAATTTAAGCTAACGCGTTTGCTCCCATGATGACCTTCCATATAAATTATCGTGGATATCCTTTAACTAAACCCACCAGAGAATATATTAAACATTATCCTTCTATTTGTATAAGTAATTTGCAAAGGAAGTCTAGTAAATAGAGATAAAATAAAAATATTGGTCAAAATATTGATCAATACGGGATGTAATTTAACCAGATTGTTTGTGTTATGTTACATTTGCTTTTTTCTAAAAAAAAAAAAGTTACCATGCAAGTATATTTTCTAATATGTGCAAAGGTCTCTGTAATTCTTATTACTGTTATTAAGCTGTGTCAAGCCATTTAATATGATAGCTTTTGTTTAAAGACTTTGGATTATGACATATAGAATGATTAATAACTATATATGTTGATAAAAAATTTCAAATCAGAGCTTCAAAGCTGGGATAATTACATACAACTGTTTACCAAAAACAAACATTGCCCCGGCCTTTGTGTAATTTCTGAAGTGTCTAACCAAAAACCACAAACGTTGCTCATCCTTCTTCCTTTTTTTTTTAAGTGTGTAAATACTTTAGAGCTCAGCTTCTTTGAGGTTTTTTTTATTCTTTTTCTTTATGATACCCTGAAAGTGGTTTAACCGTTAATTCACACAAACTGATATTTGTTTCTTTTATCCTTTAAAGCGACTGAAATATATAATGAGACATCTAGATTTGTAATATTTATATATTAAATATAAAGTAATAATCTTAAAATGAAAGAGTTTAGGGTGTAACGTAGGCAATACCAATAACTTGCTAGATCTGAACTTTATAAAAAGCATAAATAGAGAACAGATTTGTAACAATGTTTTCAAATATATATTATATATCTTACAGCAAGTATACAGAAAATGAGTAATAAATCAATATTATCTAACAATATTCCCATATATAGTGCTCTCTTTCTTCCTTTGCTTTTTCGCTTAAAAAAACATGATAGTAAATAAAAGTAAATAAAGAGAGCATACAAAGAAATGCTGTATATAAATATTGCAGATCTCTGATCCAAGTACTCTGTTGTATGTGCTTCGATCTCTTACAGCTAATTCCTTGTATCTTTTTTTAAAAAAAGAAAAACATACGGGAATATATAAAAGTGAAACTCTCTATATTATATTTGATATTATAATTAGTTTTATTATTATTTTATATGAGAAACTATTAGTAAAGAATAAAGAGAAATAGTGTATTATACATGTTAAAGAGATATATAGATATATAGATATATAGATATCATTTATGTAGAACATAGCCTAAAATGGTTGCAGCCAGTACACACCCGGCACCAATAAACCCAAAGATATAGACGATGCCCCATAATATAATAACTAATTTTGGTTTTTTCCTGATTTTAAGCCTATTCTTGAGATAAAACATGGGAACTAATAACACTGGACTCAAAATCCATGCCAACACAAGCCATTGGGTCACACTGTGTACGTTATAACCCGCCCAGATACCAGCAAGTAACGATAGGGTCATTCCTCCACATCCAGCGGTAATGTATGAGTATGTATGGTACTCTATATATGTCTTGTATCCATTGTTGTTGATAATCTTTTCTTTTTGGATTATTTTCTCTAAGAAGCTACCTTCGTAAAGAATAGTCGGGGGTTTACTGTTTTCCTGTGGTGGTCCACTGTTTTTCGGTGGAGTATCCTCTTCACGATTAGAACTAGTATCTTCATGACTAGACATATAATAACTATTTGGCATTCTATTTCTTATGTTTCCAATTCTAGTTTGGATGCCTATAACGTCTTCTTTGTCATATAAATCCGGGTTTAAAATGTCACTTTCTGAGGGGAGATCTCCAATTTCATAGATTACAATGTTGATATCCTCGTCGTATAGAATAGTTAAAGCTGAGATTTGTTTGTGAAGGCACCAGAGCGAGACAGTCTGGAGAACTGACATTGTCATGTATATGATCATGATAACTTTGGCCCATCTGTCACCTTGGGTATCAATACACTCTATGACTGTGTAAACAAGCTGGCCGATGGTGATGCATATCTCTGTGTATGAAGTAGCGTCCAGGTAATAAGCAGTGTGTATTTGATCGAGCATCTTTTCACTGAGATAACGAACCGTGAAAGGTTTTATGCCGGCTTGATACGTGGATTCGATTCCTGTTCCGGTTATTCTCATGTTTTGAGAAGGTATTATATTGTCTTTATACTTTTCAACTTGTGCTTCATTCGCTTCTAGTCCTAGGTAGATGCTGCTGTTTAGAATACAATGCTTTGCTCGTCTCGCTTGCCTCGGTTTCATTAAGTGTAGGATTGCCGCAAGATAAAATACGTTATCTCCAGGCCTATGAGTATAGTCTTTGTCTTTTTCGGCTTCTTTTTTAATCTTGTCTCTCAATTCTGCTGCCTTTGTTCTAAAATCGTCACGGGAGGATTCCTTTTCTTCTGTCCGATTTCCGCTGCTATCATATTTGCTACCCGGAGTCGAAAATTTGCTAAGAAAGAATTCTTTTAAAGGTAGCCAACAATCGCTCGCCCAAGCTTCAATCCAATGTTGCTTTTTGTTTTCATCAATTTCTTTAATGTATTTGTCGGCCTCGTCGATGCCAAGAATCTTATCACCGTCGTATGCTATGAATATAGCCTTAAAAGCAGTTCCAATTCCTATTGTCGGGTACACGAAAAAGGTAGCACGCCAATACAAGGTATTCATTTGGTCAGTGTCTGACGTTGGCCGGATAGTCATAATGTGTGTCAGGTAACCAAGTACGATTGTCTTCAAGATCTCATAAGCCTGTGATCTGCTGATGGATTCTCCTCCAATTGGGTCTATTGGTGCTGCGTATGTTTCTTGTATGATTTGAAATGAAAGGACCAGAAGAGTAATGCGGAAGTAATGGGTAGCCATGGTTTTTTTTTTAAAAAAAAAAAGGTAAATAAATAAAACTAGTTCAATGAAAGAGAAAAACAAGACAAAAAATATATTTTTTTGGGACAGAGGACAGGGTTATATACTCAGAACAAAGCTTGAAATCTGGCACCAAAACGTATATGTATTTTCATATATATATACACTCGAGTGTAATAGGTCATTGGACGGTCTTCTAATTTTCAAAATTATTTTTCAAGCATATTATGGACGATATTTTCTTTTCAACAATGTTGATAATAAAATGTGCTCAGAATAAAGCAAAACTTAGAGAAAACATAGTTTATTATATATATATTTAAGAGAAAAGGTATGAGCTCTGGTAATGAGTTGTGTCACCACCTCTCTCGATTACTTCTTTAAGCCTATCTGGCATGCTGGCTACCAAAGTTTCCAGAACTTGAAGTGGTATCTCCAACCATGTCTTGTGGATTACCGCTTCAAGTTCTTCCACATTGGTTACTTGTGCTCTATTCTTGCGAAGTTTCCTCGCAAGATGAGCCCAAATATGCTCGATAGGATTAAGATCTGGGCTCTGGGCAGGCCAAAAATCAAAGCTATCTATTAGACACCTCTCTTTTTTATACCATGTGGCATAAGCGCCCGTGTGGCATGGTGCACCATTCTCTTGGAACAAAAACTGTTTGTTATTATCCCTGGACAGTTCCTCGTACCAGGGAAGAAAGTACTGAGCCAAACAGTCGATGTACTTGTCTTGATCGATGTTTCCTTTCAATGTTACCAAGGGGCCAAGACCCCCACCCCCAGAAACAACCCCAAATCATGACGGAACCCTTACCAAACTTGTATGTTTGGACAATATGGTTCTTGTCAAACCTCTCGCCAGTCTTTCTGATGACTCTGACTCTTCCATCATTGCCAACTACCATGAATCTGGACTCGTCTGACCAGACAACTGACTTCCACTGCTCAACAGTCCAATTCACTTTGTCAAGGCACCATTTCAGCCTGTTTTCCTTCTGTTTCTCGGTCAACCCTGGCTTGCGAGCTGCTGAGTGAGAACTAAAGCCAAGAAGTTCCATGTTCTTACGGAATGTAGTCATGCAGATGGAGATTCCCACATCGACTAATCTCTGATGCTGAGCCGCAATTGACACGAATGGCTCACTACGAAATGAGCGCACCATCACAGATTGTGTTCTCTTTGTAACCTTTGGTTCCCTTCCTAGACGTGTCAAGGGCTTGGAAACACCTTTATCTCTGAAGGCTTTCACTACATTTCCAACAGTGCTCTTCGGAATGTCAAGGGCTTTAGAGATTTCTCCATATGTAGTGTCCTTCTCCCATTGACCTATAATTCGGCCCCTAATGAACGCATCTAACTCTTGTCTTTTGGGTTTTGTGATGCTAGAAGTTGGTGGAGTCATTTTGTGCTTTTGTTTTATTTGTTTAAGAGTTTTTAGTGGTTTTACAAAGAAAAGAGTATTTTGATAATGCATAAAAAAAATCAAAAAATCAAAAAATCTGTGACCGTCTAATGACCTATTACACTCGAGTGTATAGCTTTATTTTAAGCTTCCTTGGTTACAGGTACACACCGAAATTTTATTTTAAAAGTAAGCGTACCACATTTGGGACTATTGAAGATGAGCACTAACGCAAAATCCAAAAATAAAAATTATACAACAGTACCAATTTTCAAAACATTTTCTTTGTTTTGATACAAACTTCAAGAGACTGGTATTAGAAAAATGAACAATAAGAACAAGGACAGTGATAGTGACTTTACAGTTGTACGTTTGGTTTCTTCTTTTTTATTGTAACAATAATTGCACTACCAATACCAATGAAAATACCACCATCTTTTCTTCTTCTTATTATTCTTCTTTAGCAACAATGATAACCACCAATTCGGTCGAGTAATTTACAGATTTTCTAAGTACTATTTCTGACGCCCTTTTTTTTGTTTATTTATTTTAAGAATAAATAAATAAATACATCGTCATTTGATGTGAAATTTAACTGCGAATTATTATTATCTTTTATCAAAAAAAAAAAAAGACTACCAGAGCTATCATTCAATATTCCTAGTCGCACAAGATGACAAGTTTTTGAAATTATAGACCAAGGCCTTTCAGAATGAAAAGGAAAGAAAGAAGAAAATAAAAAATAAAAGAGGAGAATAAAGGTTTCTATATAAAAACATATGTATAATACAGCCTGGATCAGTTAGGAAATAGTATGAACACACATTTATATATAGACAAAAACTGAATTACTATATACTTTAAAAGTATACTAGTATCGGAAATATTAAATAGAGAAAGATTTTTTATTTTTGGCTCTGTTACTAAGAAAAAGACAAAATATAACAGTACAGTTTTATATAAGTTTGTCACTAGGTTATACCAATCATGTAATACTTAATTTTTTATACAAGAGTTTTTCGTTGATCTTTTTTTTTTAAGGTAAAAGACTCTTATTTCAAGTAAAGATACATGATACTTGGGTACAATAAATTTCAGGTGTATTGCTATATGGTTAAGTACAAATAAATCCAAGTTTTTAAAACAAAAAGAAATGTATTCAAGATATTTATGCTATTGGTATTAGCACTTATATAATAAGAAATCAAAAAAAAATTTGATTCCAATTAATAGATAATGAAAGTGACTTGAGGATTTGCAGAACAACTTTCAAGATAAGTCATAAAATTGTTTAAATTGAATAGATCAATTTTAGCTTTATTTTATTGGCTGGTATTCACTCCGACATTTAAGCTTTTTCTTTTTCATTTGGCTCCTCCTTATACACTCCCAAAACTGAAATCACCGACAAAATCTTTGATTTCTACCCCTGAATAAACCATACATCAACTTCATTATGCTATATCTTCTCAAGAAGTTGACAAAATAAAACCAAACATTGTGTTGCTATAGAAAAATGTATATATATTATAGAATAAAAATAAAAAAATGAGGTTTAATATACGGTATGATCACCACGAGCTTTTATGACTGCTTTAACTCTGTCAGGCATACTTGCCACAAGAGTTTGCAGAACTCCAGGGTCAAGCAACTCCCATTCCTGAAGAATACAGGCCTTCAGCTCTTGCACATTGTTAATAGAGGCCTTTTTCTCTTGAACCTTGGCCTTTAGGGCATGTCAGACATGCTCAATTGGGTTCAAATCTGGACTTTGCGACGGCCAGTAGTCAAATCGTTTAATCTCCCAACGGTTTTTCCACCACGTCGTGTAGGACCCAGTATGACAGCTAGCACCATCTTCTTGGAATGTGAACATGGTGTCATGTTCTTCATTCAATTGTTTGTACCAGGGATTGAAGTCCTTAGACAGACAATTGACGTATGCATCTTGGTCTACAGATCCTTCGATAAACGATAATGGCCCAATGCCACCAGCCCAGAAACAACCCCATACCATCACGGAACCTTTTCCATACTTTTCTGTTGTTAGTGTATGGCGTTCCTGGTGCCTCTCCCCTCGTTTACGAATTACGGATGGGTCAGAATCATTGCCTTTCACCATGAACCTCGACTCATCTGACCACACCACTCTGCTCCAGTCTTCGATGCTAAAACTGGCCCTAGCTCTAGCCCAACGCAACCGATTCTTTTTCTGCTCACGGGTTAACTTTGGTTTAGATACAGGGGTGTAAGAACCGAAGCCTTTTGCTCGTAGGTATTGGATAACTGTCTGTCTACAGACAATAACGCCAGCAGCTCCCAAATTTGCCTGGTGGTATCCATAACTCTCAAAAGGATTACGTCTCACACTCAAACAAAGACTTGTAACGTCTGTTACACTAAGTTTCTTTGGTCTCCCAGGTCTGGTCTTTGTCTTGGCTGTTCCAGTAGTCTCCCAGCGCTTTATTGTATCGAAAACTGTAGTTCTAGGAATGTTCATACGGTTTGCGATGTCAGTTGGAGTATGATCGGCTTTTGAGAGCCAAACAATGCCTCCACGCTCAAAATCTGACAGCTCGCGTCTGGAGGGAGTAGTTTTAATTCTTTTATTACTTTTCGACATTGGTGGTTAAGTTTGAGGTAAAGGTGTGAGGAAGAGAAAGGTAAAGAATGTTATAAAAAAAGCAGCATGAAAAATGTGGTTCATCGATGATTTTTATTGTCGGAGTGTATATATATATACATATTTTGGGAGCTCATCTTACAAAACTGAGACAATCAAGGTATATTTTAAGATACATTCTTTGCTTCTTCTTTTTTTCTTGGTACTGTCATTGGTTCCGACTGAATAACTGCGTCAATCCTAATGTGAAATTTGTATAACAAAGAAAAACAAAAAGACAGAGTATAGAGACTTTTGCTCATATTTTCTTCTCAAAAGATGTCAAAATTAAATCTAATTCTTTTGTTTTATTTTGTATTTATTGGTACTAAAATTCCAATGAAAAATAAAGACCACTGAACAATTGGTATAACTTGCCCGAGTGAGAGCTTCTTTTTTGTTGCTGCTGTTACTGGTGTTACAATTCTAATAAGGAGTAGGAAGAAAAGGGATCTTACTATTAAAAAAAAATAGAAATGAAGAGCCAAACGATTAATAAAGCCAAATTTTGTATCACATCCACTAGTGCCTTGACTGCTATTCAAAGGGGAAAATAATATGCTGCTCATCCATAATTTTTTTTGTCCAAATGCATCTCAAGTAAAATATATATATATATATATAATAAAATAGAACAATAATTGAAGCACTTTATTTATTGTTTCAATATCTCTAATATACATACATACATACATACACAAATTATTGGTGTACCAGTATCAATTCTCTACTATCTATATTCTTCGTCTTCTTCTTTTACTGTTGGAGTTGGTGCTGATATTATTTCTTTAAATGATAATGACTCCTCAGCCTTTAATACTATCTTGTCTGCTTTGATTTGTTCTTCAAAAAGACTTCCAACAACTCCATACAAGTTTGGGCATCCTCAAAAGAATCGTGTCCGTCTGAACCTTCTTGAATGAATTTCGAGAGATGACGTGTAGAAAGAGCACGCAGGCCATATCGATAGGGAAGTCCGTGAGGATGTGGGAAGAGCTAAAGAAAATTAATAAATTAATAAGGTTATCTTTCTTTTTTTTCTGCTTTTCTTTTAAAGGAGTCAGAGAATCTTACTGCTGCTGTATCAATGATATTGGGATGGATCAACTAACATGGCAATAATAAGATTAGTCTACAGAACCTCCTTACATTATAAATACCCAAATTGAGGGTTTGTCTTTAGCTTACTCTTAAAGCATTCATGTCGTTTTCCTAAATATATATATATATATACATATTTGATTTGATTTGATCGATTGTTTGTCAGACATATATACTGATATTATTTATATTTATATAGCATGTACTTACCAAGCCATGTCCAAGCAATATGGTGTTACTATCAATGTATTTAAATAGCTCTGCTCGGATGCTTTCCAGGTTGTGTTTCACACCCGCTAGAGTCTTTATACCGCTGTAACGCGTGTTGAGATCGATGATCATATGTGATGGTAATACGATTTCATCAATCAATATCTTTGATTGTTCTCCCACCACTGTTAATCGGATTAACTCCATGCCAGCTGTTGTATATCCCTTTGTGTTTGTGAAGCCATACATACATTAGCAACCATACTTTAGCATATATCAATATACGTTCATTTACCATTTCACAATCCAACGCTACAATGCCAGTACGAGGCTTTGATGGATTGGCAGCTGGTGTTTCAACATAGCCAATCTTTTCGTGCATTGTCTCAAAATCTTCATCTGTTATGGATTTGTAAACATAGATAGAAACAAAAGAATTTTTTGTTGTTGTCTAAATATTGTACAATATGTGAATGCATTACCTTTGTACACATGAGGCCCCTTGACACAACCTTCGCTTCCGTATGATTCTTCGCAGCAACTATACACTCTATGTTTTTCACCTACAGACCCATATCCACCAAATACAAATATAGTTGTCAGACTCTTGATGATTTTACAATATACAATAAATACCTGACTTCATAACCATCCGCATACGGCCATGGTGGTACAAACACAGCGTATGATCCACTTGTTCCAAGACATCCTTGACTTTATAATCTCGGTTGCATCGATCACACTTCATTTTCTTGTGCAGCACACTAGACCCCATACCTCCACCAGGACTATCCAAGAGCTCCAGGGGTGGATAACCCATCTCTTCTAGCTCTTCCTTTGGAATACAGTACTTTCTCGACTCTGCCTCGATGCTCTTTGTAGCCATCACGCCTGGGTCAACCCACTCGCCATGAATTCCAATGTCATTTGGTCCGGTTGCCTCTGGTCTCTTTTTTAACCCCATCAAGACGGTCATGGCCATCTGTTTGTAGCCAGCAGGATTGATGGTCTTTTGGTGGATTTGATCTTCTTGGTCAGTCGCGTGTTTGGTGGCAAGATCGGGTTGTAACCCATTGTAAATTCGGCAGAAACTCTCGTATATTTTGTTTGCCGTAACCTACAAGTACACACACACAAACACACACACATTTAATATATTGCATTACAATGTATTAATATTAATCTTATATTAATCTTATATTAATATTAATATTAGCTTGCCTGTCTAATCTTGAGTGGCGTGTGGGAACGTATATTAGGAAGGATCACAGGTGGACCTGTATTGGCAGTCTTATTTAATAGTAATGATCACAATATTAATGATAGCACAAGACGAATATCAACTCAATATATTATAAAGGTAGTTAATAATAAACAAATGAACAAAGTCTTGTAAATTTTATTTTTATTGCGCATATATTTTGTATATTTGTATGTATATATGTATGTATGTAGAATAAATGACGTACTGTATTTGCGTGTGCGATTCGTCGTGGGCCGTGCATAGTCGTAGCAATCTTGGAAGGAGCAAGTGTAGATACATGACTTGGTTTTGGGGTTGTTTTATAGATAGATGGGGGTGCAACAAGTTGAGATCTAGAGTTTGTAGGAACGAGTTCAGGACGTGGAGTGGATGATGTTTGTGGATTAGGCCGTTTTGCTACATTATTAAAATTATTGAGTGAGTGTATGTATTAAGTAAACTTTATTCATTCATTACAAACGGAATTTTTTGTTTCAATGATAATAATACGTATACATGTAATTATGTTTATACCTAATGTCGATGCTGATTGAGTGGGTCTACTGGTTAAATGTCTATCGGTTACTGGCTTTTTTGGTGTAATAGGTGCGTTTGGTGCGTTTGGTAATTTGAATGGACGATCGACAGATGCTTTTGTGGAGGTGATGATCTTGCGTCGTTTGATTGATGGTGCTGATTTTAATGTTCTGAAAATGAGGTTTTGATGATCAAGTTGGGACAGCCCTTTTTTTTTCTCTTTCTTTCTATGCCAAACTAACCAGGAGGCAATGAATGTGAATAAAAGCATGGACCACGATTACAATCTGGTAGATCTGGACATGGTATTTGATTAAACAGCTTTAACGAAGGCAACATTGTAAGCCAGAAATAATAAGAATTATTATTATTATCAGAAGAAGAAAAAGAAGAGAGAGAGAGAGATGCAGTACAAGTTCGAACTCTTTATTGTTATTTGATATATTTATTATTAATATTATTAATATTAAATGATAGTTTGTTTGAATAGAGTATTCCAAAATCGCGTCACAATGCTTTACATACAATATACTCGACTGTATTTTGGCTTTTATTATAACAGATACACAAGTCTATACATGCGAATTAAAAGTGTATATTGTGTAGTGTGTAGTAAAGGATTCTCGAGATTAACATTTCATGATCTTGCTATTAAGAGTATCTTTTTTGAAATAGAGCTTAATATCAATTGATAGGTTGAGTTTTTACAGCAATAAACTTATCTAAACCCTTTTTCTCTCTCTCTTTATAGCTGTCTCTATTTCCGCCCCTTCTTTCTTCCTATCCTTCCCTTATACCCCCTAGACATATGAATAAAAGGGGGGGGGGGGGGGGGCGGGTTAATGACCGAGAAATAAAAGAGAAAATAGTAGAGAAAGATAAGTAAATGTTGTATATTTTTAAAAAAAAAAAACCTTGATAAAACACACGTATATGTATAAATATATATATATATATATAAAAGAGACTAAAGACTAGATTCAATTATATGTGACATGTATGTATATCAAAGTGTTTCATGAGAAAAGATAAACTAGGGTTGAATGTATAGATTGTCAGTTAGATTCACATGTAAAAAAGAAAACACTAAAATGAATAGCAAATATGTAAGAAATAGAAATAGAAACAAGAACCATATAATATAGCTCAACTTAACTCAACTAAATACCTACATTTATATACACTAATATTAATGGTGATTTAGATTACCAAAAGTAACAGAGAAAATGTGAGATATATTGTACTATTTGTAATAGTCGGTCAATGTGCACTACTTGATTCCCTTACGGTGGCAATTATGGTTATGAAAGAAGATCCACAATTTTTCTTCTCTTTCTTTGTAGTTTGAAAAGACAATAGGATCTAAATACAGACGGACAGACATATACGGAACAAGCGGAAGAAGATGCTTTTAAATAGTGTAACTTGATAAGAAATAATAGCCATCGATAAGACATACGACTAAGTTTCTATTGTCTGCTTTTTCTATTTTGTATTTATATGTTTCAGCTGTAGACATTATCAATAAGCTACCTTGCTGTCTTGCTTGCTTGGTTGATTAAAATATTGTTATTCATATTAGAAAGAAGAAGAAGAATAAAATCAAAAATAAAGTCTACTTTGTACATATATTTATTTATTCTTTAAAATAAAAGGGGAATGTAGACATTTGCTTTGGTTGATAAGATAGAGTATGCATACACTATGCTTTATTGTACAAAGTTTTTACTTGTAATATAAATAGATAGACGCACATACATACAAACTCATGTATGTATATGTGTATAGTTGCTTGCTTTTCTTTCTATGTTTACTCAAACAAAGGTGTACAATGATATGCCCAAACAAACGTTTAGGGTCTATTGTTGCCTATCTATCACACAATGAAATGATGTTAATAGCAAGCTTTATATGTATATATATATATCTCTTTTTTGGTGACAGGCTATCCTTAATTGTTCTTGTTGAAGAACAAAAAAAAAACATGGACGCTTTTGAGTGTATGTTTTCTCAAATGTCCTATTACTTTGTATGAATTATATCATTTAGTCTACAATGGTCAATTTTATAATCTACAGATAAATGTCCGTGTATTTGAAATTGGTGGGGATGAAGTAGCCGAGTACCATTAAATAGTGTTATCAACTCAATCAAACTTTCCCCCCTTTCCCTCCCTCTTTCCTTGATTGGATAGGCTTGTATGTGTGTAAGACCAGATGAAAATGAAGACGAAGATGAATATATATACATGTATGCTCTCAAATATGGAATTCATTATAGAACGCTTTTTTGTTATTAACTTTTGTTCAAGTTTGATGTTTATTGTAGATGATATGTTGTTTTCATTATACTGGGCCATGACAGGCTATAATCATTATCATTATTTATAAATATAAATATAAATATAAATATTTCTAAAATAAAGTATCTAAGCTTGATCTAGTCAATTAGTTACACGGACCTGAACACAGGATTTGTGCTCGTCCGATGTTTACGGGGGTGACGGCCAAAGTGTCAGTTTGACGGATAAGATCGACTTTGATTATTCATTTTATTTTATTCTTAAGAAATACAACGAAGATATAGGTACCAAGATTATGTATGTAATAGTTCAAGTAAGGTATATACTTCTTTACCAACAAGACTCTTTTTTTTTCTCTTGTATTTATTTGTGTTTGTGCTTGTAGTTGTAGTTGTACTTGTCACTTTGTTGTTTCATTTATTGTGTATTCCTAAATAGCTTTGTGTGTGTGTATATTTAACCTCTTGTAAACAATGACTATTATTTACCTAATTTTTTTTTTAATATTATTCCTTTGGCGATCTTCTTCTTGTTCTTCCTATTTTTCTATTATGATTTGTAAATAGTAAATAGTAAATATTATTATTGGTACTGATTTAGTATGTGAAGTCTCTGTTTTATTCCAACTTTACTTTGACAGGCTTTGCTTTCATTTGCTTTGACTTTGCTGAATATCTGTGAATTATGATAACTTATTTTAGATTTGAAAAATATACATAAATCTGTAGATTATAATATCTTTGTGGAACTGGTTTCAAGTGATAGACAGTGATCAATTACACAGAAAGGAAAAGGGAAAAAAGGTCCCCAAAATATATATATATAAAATACATAATGACCCCCTCCCCCAAGTGGTTTTTGTATTCCTTTAAAATTGTATTGCAAATGGGCATTGAATGACAATAATCACATGCAAACAACAAGGTAGATATTAAAATAAATAGAAAACAAATAAACAAGCAAGCACACAAGCACACAAGCACACAAGCAAGCAAGCAAGGAAAGAGAAACAAATATCAAATTACATTATATTATATTCTCTATGTGTGTGTATAATTATTCTTATTTTAAAATACAAATAAAAAAACAATTCAATTCAATTCACTTTGCCTTTTACTCTCTTTCACTCTTCTATCTTTTATTTCTTTTCTTTCTCTTTCTATACTCTATATCTTTTATAATTTATACGTGTAATTTGGATGGCTTCCTTTGTCAGTTCTCTATTTCAACCCTGGGCAGACAAGCCCTCTACATTTCAACCCATACAATTTAGTCCACAATACCCACCATATGATACTCAGCATCAGCCTCAGTCTCAGTCTCAACCTCAAGCACAACCTCAAGCACAGCTTCAAATACAATCACAACCACAACCACAACCGCAACCGCAACCGCAACCACACCCACAATCACAATCGCAGTCTCCACAAAGCTGGATAGCAGACGTAGGCTTACTAGTAGATAAGCTACGGGATGATGCAGCCTCAATGATCACATCAAAATCAATCCACACCATGTCCAGTCTGGACAGAAAGAGTATCGCGCAGGGCATGCGACTAGTATCAATAGCCGCAGACGAGTATGACGAAGGAAATGAAGCACTAGGTCTGGAAATATATCTGTCTGGCATTGACAAGGTTCTCATGGCCCTACCAAGTAATATACTTCATTTTCTTATCGCTACATATCAATTTTCTGACTGCTAAATGTTTTTTGATAGATAAACCAGACGAAAAGACAAAAATGGCTTTAAAGGAAAAACTCTCTAGGTAATACAAGCATACAAACATACATGTGTGCATATGCGGCGTGTACCTTTTGTTTTCTTACTATAGAACAGAAAGAACAAATACAGCCCTCACCCCCCCCCCCCCCCCCCCCCCCTTTGCCCTCTATCCTTTTTTTTCTATTTCTATTTCCCCTCCAAAATCATATTCCCCCCCTTATTATTTTATTTGGCTTTATTATTACTAACAGCTTTTATATCATCCATTCAATTATTCATTAATCGACTCACTCAATTAACCTTTTATTTCCCCCCCTTCTTTTTTGTTGTTGTATACATATAATAGTGTTCAGGAACGCGTTGGGATAATTCATTTGGCTACACTACATAACAATCCCGGATCTCTCTCAAATTTATCCGAGTTTCCACCCTCATTTTCATACTCACCCTCATCCTTGCCTTCACCTTCGCCTTCACCACTATCTCTATTATCACCTGTATTGAATACCTTTTGGTCATACAGACCAAAGTCAATCTGCTCCAATCAAACTTCACCAGAACCAACCAGTCGATTCAAAAGATTCAGTCAACGTGTAATTGATACCAGTGTGTCCTTTGCAGTGTTCATCAAACAATCTCCCTTGCCAGGTAAGAATAAATACAAAAAA